CAAGTTTACTAATTGGGGACCAGATCACCTGATAAGGATCCGGTGGGCCACCACTCCCCACGTGAGCGTGGCTCGGCGGAAGGAGGTGCCAAGAATCAGTTCGTATTGATGGATCTGTTGGGAATTTATGCGATTAAGAGTACAGCCCACTAAATATTAAAGATAAAAATTACGAATACTCTTATAAACGACGGATGGCCATCACTCGGTCTCGTTGTGATGCCTTCCCAGCCACGGATGGCTTATGGGTTCGAGTGTGTTTGAGTGGTAAGAGTTGTCTTGAATAGTCAGTGTTCGGAGTCGATTCTTTATGTCAAACAGACGCCTGGTGGTCGTGTGGTGAGGGGGCGGTGCGCGTCATACGTATCAGTCGCTCCCCTGTCACCGTGGTGAACTGGTTCGGATGCCCGTTGATACGCTGTCGCAGTTCGGAACCCGGTCGGTAGGTGGCGCCCACAACTCGCTCGCAGCGTGCAGTGTTGGGTCGTCGACCAGGGTGTGCACGGAGCCTCGTCGCCAAACCGCGACCCTCACCACTCCGGCGGCAGCAGAGACCTCCGACTCGGCAGAGGTTGACCCACGCAGGCCGAGTTGAGCTGTCAAGCGGGTCTTGCCCGCCTGCAGAGGAGATGGGGAGCCGCTTGAGTCGAGCCCCGAGAGCCGGCTTTGGTAAGCCGATCGAACTCGGCTGAGTCCCAGACGAGCTGAAGATGAGTCGAGCCGACCCGCTGGTCGCAGCTCGCTCCTGAGCCGACCCTCCCGGTCGAGCTCGCTCCTGAGCCGACCCGCTGGTCGCCCCCTGAGCCGACCCGCTGGCCCCCCTGAGCCGACCCGCTGGTCGCACTAGTTTCCAATGCTCAGGATCCTTTCCTTTATGCCGAAAAATCCCCCTGGATCCCGCCCACAAGGCGGGGCTTCTTTCGATTTTTGCTGTGTCAGGATCTGTCCGTAGGCAGGTGTGTCCATGTGTGTGTCCGTACGTCCGTATGTCCTTGTGTGCATCACCCACGGTATATTCCGTTGTCACACTCCCTCCATAAAACCCACGAGCAAACAATCAGATGTTACAAATTGCCTCGAAGTCGTCTCTCTGTCTGGGTGCAATATTATCTCTTGTCTGGCCTTCTTCATGAACCCAAAACACAGACGTTACAAATCGTCTCATAGGCGTCTTTGTTCGTGTTGCACAACCTGGAGGGAGGGGCAACACTCTCTCCGACCCGGCGCACAAAGAAATGGTTAAAAAGTTTTAAGTTAACATTTGTCCCTTACTATTTCACAGTTATGATTCTGTATGTAACCTAAGGTCTGTCGTTTCCCATCGTGGTGCTTGACTCAAGTGGAGGTGTTTCCCCGAGCGTATACACACTCCTATCCCGCGCTGCGGGGATACAAAGACGGCCGGGATCTCCCTTTCTCTCCGACCCTGGGTTTAACATCGTTTTTTTTTTATTATGTATTTATATTCGACCTGGTGGTGATTCATCCCGTTATCCTGGCTTTTCCATAAGTTTTACTTTTGTCTTTTCATGCATATGCTTATTATTATTAATTTATTTCCGATATCTTAGGTTAAGGGGTAAGTTTCTTGATCCTAGGAATTCGTATTCCTTGGTGTCTGCATGGTTATATAAGCGGAATATAGTTTACGGTGAATAGCGTTAACATTGATGTTATGTACGATATTATGTATTGTGATGTCTTTAACTTAACTTGTTTGTCAGGGCTTTACTGACACGAAGTTGCATTCCATAGCCCCGCAGTCTTTGCCCCACCCTATCTCTGCTCGCCGTTGTTGTTGCTGTCCAGCTGACGCCGTTAACTCAAGGCCTCATTAATTTCCGTCACTCCTTGTAGGTGAGGGCGGTTGAACCTTGGAGTCAGTTCTGGTTTTTGTCTGCCTGCTTCTTCTTGTGTCCCCTGACCCCGGGAGTTATTATTTCTACTTTTATGGCCTGTCGAAGCCCGACTCGCTGTTGCTGGGCTGGTGTCGTTCCCGGCTTTTTGCTTACGTTTGCAGTTCGCCGTGCTCTTAATTTCCTTCCCTCTTCAACCTTATATCGACTATTCGCTCCTGTCTGGGTGCGATTCAATTTTGACTTAGGAAGGTTCTGATTGTCATATGCTTCGGGTCGAGTTGTATAGAAAGTATTAAAGTATGGAAATAACATTTCATATTGACTTAATGATGGTGATGGTTCAGTAGGCGTAACTTGTGGCCTGGTTTAATTGGAGTGGGTGTGAATATCAATAACTTTAGCCTACCCTGTTGTTAAATTCCGACTTTAACGTTACTTTAATAGCAATACAGAATAATTGAGCTTTTTGTCTTAACTAGGCGAACGCGAACTTCTGGTGACCCCCGCAGCCTTGTTGTTCAGCTGGGTCTGCCTCCTTGAGAGATATACACCACTCTTATTCTCCTCTCACTGTGGCCATCCAACCTTCTGCTCTGGGAGTGTTATTCTTAATTTCAGGTCAAAGGCCCCCTCACGTTCAGACGTGCAGGGTTGTTTAAATCAGCTCCCTCCCCTGTGCACACAGCCTTGAGCTGACCCACTTCATTTGACCACTCACCCTGGATTTAATAATTTAATTCCTTGGCCTTTTTGGGTTTATCTTTGCTCCCTCAGCTGCAGGAGGACAAGGCGTACTTCTACCTCCCCCCTGTGTGCACGTGTTCCAACTAGCTCGGAATCCCTAAACACACAATCAGTGATGATTCCTGGCTTTCTGTGGTTGTGATTTAGACAAAGGCGCCTCTGCTTTCTTCCATTGCCTTTGAGTCGACACTGCCCTATTATTTGCCCATGTGCTGAGGTCATAGAATTCGTTTTGACTTCAGTAATATTAACATTCAGTATTGGATTAGCAAATGGGCAATGGTTCATTGATGTAGCTCGCAGCCTGGTCTCCAATTTGAGCGAGCGCGAGGATCGATAATTTAGCCTACTCTGTTGTTGAATTTCGAATTTTGACGTTACTTTAAAACCATGCAGGATGGTTGGGCTTTTTGCCTTAACTATGTCTGGCTGACACTCCCACTGTCTCTGCCGCCTGCACAGGTGACATGTGCCCGTTCATCAGGCCTTATCTTTCCTTGAAGCAAGGTTGCAAATTCTGCCATCCTAGCCCTCCTCCAGTTCATTACTTAACAACACCTGGTGTTTTGCAGTTTGCTGCGCTTTGGTGTGTTTCCTTCATTAAAAAAACAAGTAAAAAGATAATATATAAAAATATCATCAAATATTATTAATCTCAATTTTGGAAGAAGGGTTAGTATACAACACCCCTCTGAGACATATCCTCATCTCAGGAACCATGCACTCAAAATGGCAACCATCTTTGGCAGCACTTATGTCTGTGAACAGACTTGTACCAGAATGAAACATTTGAAATCTCCAACCAGATCTAGACTAACGGATACACACTTGCATCACTTGTTACGACTAGCAGTGACAAATATGGAACCGGACATTGACCATCTCATTAGCCAAAAGCAGGCCCATAGTTCCCATTGAAATACTGGAAAGTTTGTTGATTTAACTTTACTTGTTCTTCATTTTAAATATTGTATTTGTTCCCGTTTTGTTTCTTCACTTCAAAATAAGATATATGCAGTGTGCATAGGAATTTGTTCATAGTTTTTTTAACTATAGTCCGGCCCTCCAACGGTCTGAGGGACAGTGAACTGGCCCCCTGTTTAAAAAGTTTGAGGACCCCTGTTCTAACTGAATCGTGGTAATTTAAAACTGAAGCAAACAAATGTACAACCCGTTGTCAATCTGCTGCTGGATGGGGGCCTCCTGCAAAATAGCGTGTGTTGGCACAGCGGCGGGAAGTGCGTTGTCGCTGTGCGGGAGTGACACTGCAACGCGCCCACGGCACACTTGGGAGGGCATGCTCGCGATTCACACGCCAGGGGGGGAGCGGAGGAACTGCGCTGGGGTGAACCGCACGTCACGTGTCTTACACACGGGGGACGTTTCCCATGCTGGTCGCTGCATCGCGCACACTTTCAGATGCGCTTCTGCGGCCGTCTGGAACGCTCTTCCTTCCGATTTTAGGAAGCCACCGGAGATATGCACTTTTAAGCCGATATTGAAAACTAATTTGTTTATAACTGCTTTTTGTGTTTCGTTTGTTGTCCTTCCCCCGCACCTCCGATTAGCACGGTTGGCTACGTACGGTGCAAAAGAAGTTCAACAAACACACATACATGGGGGGGGGGGGGGGTTGTTGTAGCCACTGTTAAGTGGCTTAGCGAAGTCACGTTTGCTGCGTTGCTTCACGGCCTGATTTTGGATGGGAACCAGGGCAGAGTCATGTGGTGTCAAGTTATTTGTTGTGAATTACTTGGACAACTTTTTGTAATAATTCCGTGAACCATTTATCCAGAGTTGACGAAGAAAACTCGGAAATCTGCCGTGATTTCATGCTCGAGGCTCACTTCTCGGTGCTGATTTATGCCGTCGGCGCACGCGAGCTGCGTTTAAATAATAAGCTTGGCAAACGGCTGTGAATGGGGCTAATGCAAGCCATTGGTGTGTCGGCGGGTTAGTGCTACCAATGAGTTACCTATAAAACACCTGCACTCAACCTTGCCCGTTACTACATGTCCTTGCTGATAATACTTTTTACGTCGTTTGTGCCGTTAGCTGCCAACCCGTGCTCCAGCTGCGCTATGGCTTAATGCTCGTTTTGAAATGACATTAAATAATTGTGCCTAAATTATTGAATGCGTGCGCTCTTGGTGTGATCTCGATTCTTTTAGCTCTGCTGTGGCACAGGAATATCCCTTCGCTTGGATCATGTGCGCTCTCGTGGCGTAGCATCCTTTGAAAGTTGCTCAGCGATGGCATGTTTAAACGCAAGGGGCTTTAACTAAGTAATTTTTTACGACTGCTTCAAAGCCGGCCGCGCTGAAAGTGTTACTGCCACTTGGCAGGCGTCGTTTTTTTGCCGTGCAGCGTGACAAGCGTGTGCGGTGCGTTGTGTGCGGCGCGTTTTTCGATCCAGGTTCTGCAGTACGTGCTGCGCGACTACGTGCACTGCTGGTACTACGACTTGAGCGATGATGAAGGGTTCCTGCTGGAGGTTCGGCAAATCATGCAGATGGCCCTCACCACCCTGTTTAATAGGTGGGTGCGGGTGGCCTCCGATTGCCCAGCGTTTGCACCATGCTAAATGGCTCGGGCTTGAGTCTTGCGCTATGCCGATCGCTCCACTGGCTCCCAGGACAATCTCGGATAGATTTCAAGATTGCATTCACCGCCTTCAAGGTCCTCTGTGGGCCCAGAGCTGCCTACCTATCCCCTCTCTCCTCTTATCTCACACTACTTCACGCTGCCTCAGTTCGTACCTCCAATTAGCGCTGTTGGTTACATACGGTGCAAATGAAGTTCAACATACATGCTCCACCAACCAAGGCTTTCTGTTGAAGCCTCTGGTCAATATCGGTCAGTGGGAGTATGTATGTATGTTGAACTTCTTTCGCACCATACGTAGCCAACCGTGATAATTGGAGGTGTGGGGGAAGGACAACAAACTAAACACAAAAAATGTGGTCGCCCATTCACGTCTGCTTCTCCCATTGTCTGGAATTCACTTACGCCAGACATCTGAGCTGCCAACTCCCTGTCCTTGTTCAAGTTCAGAGTTAAACACCTTTATTCTTTCTCTCTGCCTATGATTGACTGCCTCTATCTATCTATAATAAATATGCCCACTTTGCTTTACAGCGTCTTGAGTCGAAGCCGTATATCGATGTGATGTAAATTAAAATTGTATCTTATTTTATGGTCTTTTTGAGGCAGGAGGTTGGGTGAATGGTATGTTTTTGCTTGGAAATTATATATCTCATAAAACGTTTAAACCTTTCCTGTTGTAAAGGTTTATTTGATTTAATTTCTATGATGGAGTCAAGGGCTTTTGAAATACTCGTGTGCGTGCGTCACCGCAGGTGTAAGGATGTGGAGTGGCAGCCGTACCTGACGACGCGGCTTGTGGACGACTTTGCATCGCACCTGCGGGCGTACCGCAAGGCCCTGCGCAAGGTCAACGAGCACGATGTGGCCGAGGCTCAGCAAAGCGACGGTGAGGGCCGCTCTCGCCAGACCAAGGCGCGGCTCGCTTGAGCGCTATTGAATTACGAACCCTAAACAACTGAATATTAGGTATAATTTGTATGCATGTACGTACGTACACAAACTAATTACAAAAAGCAGTTCGAAATACATTAATTTTTAATGTAGGTTTAGAAGTGCATAGCTCCAGTGGCTTCCTAATATCGGAATGAAGAGCATTCCTGACGGCCGCAGAAGCGCATATGAAAGCGCGCGATGCAGTGATCGTCTTTGTTCGATGATTCGAAACACTTTCCCTCCCACCCCAGTGGGTTTGGGTCATTCTTCTTTTCTCAGAGCTGTAATTACGTTGTGCGTGAACCTGTTAATCCTGTACCCTAATAATATAGACAAAATAAAATTTGAAAATGGTCGTAAGAAACCTTTGGCACACACCCTAATGGTAACCCTGTCGAGTATTCTGGGAAGGAGTCGTATTGCTATGATAGAGGTTGTTCTCTGGGGGTTCAAATAATATACACTGTCCGAACCCTCGGTTCAAATCCTGGAGGGTCAAAAGATGTCGCACGGTACCTTCGTACACACGACCCTCCCTCTGTTCTTCGATGCCCGGCAGACGCGGATGAGATCGTGGAGGCGTTCTTCAACGCCGAGGTGGAGATGGAAAAGGAAATTTGCCGGGACTTGGTTTGCACGTCAGAGCAAGAAGAGAGAGGTACCGCCGCTTCAGTCGGCGTCGCGATGATGGCGTGGGAACCTCGTGCGAGCAATGCGCCGAGGCCACCCACCCTGTCTGATGTCCCCACCTCTCCGTCGCCTGTATCCTGGCCCCCTCCGCGTCACGGGCCCCGGAGCAGTTGCACTGCCCTGCACACACTCGATAGCTACGCCGCTGCATCAGCTGTTGACGTTTGTTGTAATTTTTCCGTCGCTCTTGGGCCTTTTGACAGGAAGAGCGCATGCTGTCGATGATAGCTGCATATTATAATTTATTGCAAAGAGAGTTTTTGATGTTGGCAGAATGTTATGACTGCAGGGTTTAAAATGTACATTATTAATTTCTGCAATTTAAAAAACTTAAATCCATTTTTGTAAAAGCGAGAAAAAATGATATTTTCTGTACTATAGCAACCTGTATTTGTTTTAAAATCTTAACATTTTGAATGACATTTTTGGGTTTTGCTGGACAGAATGCATGTGTCAATTGTGTCCCTGCCCTTGTGTGGTTCTCTGGCGCCCGTGATTCTCTTCTGTTCGCTAGGCCTCATTGTAGTCTGGCATTCACACCTGACAAGTGCTGTCCTATAGAAAGGGCAGTGGTGGCTGAGTAAATACATGGATACTGGGAACGCACAGCATCTTGCTTGGGAACTTGAAAAGGCATTGTCAAATCGCTGGTGCTGACCACACCTCGTAGCAATTGGGAATGAGCTGTTTAAGAGGGGTCCTTTCCTCTATGGTCAGCAGTTCACCAGCATTCATTCAATCGTGTCTGACTGTGCTGATGATGCCACTTTAAGTTAAAGCCAGTCCAGAGTTTGCTTGTCCTGAGGCAATGCTGCTGAGATTGTGTGCTCCCCAGAAGGCCATGCTTGCGGCTGAAGGGTTTTGTAGGACGAGTGTTGTTGGTGCCACTGGCTAGTCGTTGTACGACTACCAAAGTTGGTTTTACCACCCTGGACCTGAGCTGCTTTAGCAACCACTTCCAAATGAGTCCCAGTCTTGATTTTGTCCATTTCTAATGACAATCATGGGCGTTTGATGTTCGGAGACTACAGCGTCAGAGAGCAGGCCTTTGACAAGGCAACTCGACAAACACTTCTGGCCTTTGAAAACATGCAGATGGTGCTATCACATTTGTGGAAGCATAAGATAAGCAACTTACAACATTGTAATATAATGTAGCAGTACATTGTCGTAAATGGAATCGGAAGAGGAGGGCAGGTTACCAAGAGATCGGCAACTAAGCAGAGGACCTAAAACCAAATGAGAGTGATGCACCTGTAAGAACGGTCCTTGAAGGACGCCTATTCGTCGTATAACAATGAGAAGATCCTAAGCTACTTGGGGGCAATGGGACTGTGAGAAAGGTCATTGAAAGGATGCATCATTGCATAAAACAGGGAATGCCCCAATGGTACTGAAAAAGTAGATGTTGGATTATCGTATGCCGATTCGGCGACGTGGGATGTGGCGGAAGGAAGTGATGCGGTGGTGTGTGGTGGCGTCGACGGCATTGGTCCGTTGATCCTGTCGGGATGGACGGGCCGTTGAATGCGGTTTTTATTGTTCTTGCCCCTAGAGTTCTTGCGGGACCTCAGTGACGTGTTGCTCTTCTTGCTGCTGCCCAGCAACGACTTCCAGAGCCGAAGCATGCGTTGTGTACTCAGGGTAGGTGCGGGCACCATTGTGAAATGCACGGAGAACAAACAAGTGAAGGGATGCATTCATTGGCTTGTGCTGCGCAGGCTCATTAATAGATAAAAACATCACGAAAACCGTCATTAACACTGCCTTACAAGAGACATATGTATAATTTGCTGACGTCTTGGGCAATGGTTCTGTTCCAGAGCAGAGAGAAAGTGAGCACAGAGGTTCACTGGCTTTGTAGTAGTGTGGTGCCCCGATAAAACTGTTAATTTTTCACATTGCTGATAATTTTTCAGTTTGCTCAGGGCACCACAGTTCCAAAGTGCCACCTCAAACTGTTCATTCAATTTCGCCGTCCTGTCTCTTTGAAGAAGGGCCGTTGCCCAAAATCTCAGCGTGCAAAACATTATTCCGTTATAAGGCAGCGGTAATGATGAATGTGGGAGAGTTTAGTTTCCAAAAAAACCCTGCTGCGTTGACTTACACTGCTGCCACCAATCAGAATCGGTCTTAGAGCCCACGGGGCCCGCAAGTAATGGGAGTGTTAATAGCTCTGATATGACCATGAATGGAGACAAGATGATGGTTATGGTTGGGGTAAGGGATGGAGTTAGAAACCTGTTTTCAGAGCAGAGGTATTTTGCACTCCAGCACCTTCTGCGTAATTTCATAGACGCAGTAAGATATTTTTTTATTATATCATGGTCATGTGATGCGTGTCTTATGGTTATTTTTCTGTGTGTGTTTTGTTGAAAGGAAATCTTCGTGATGGGGATCCTTTTACCGACGGTGGATACCCTCAGCGACCCCGACTACATTAACCAGTACGTCACGTGGATGGTAAGTTTCCCACGATGCACCGCCGCTGCTTTAATCTCTCGGCTGTGAAGTGCATGCGGAATCCGGCCAGAAACGTTCGATGAGACATTTGCAGTGGTGCGTTGAAACTGTCTGAATTCTTGTGGTCGTAACAAGGCTCTTGTTAACGCTTGAGACAGTTGTTCTGTGTGGAACTGAGTTGGTACATGGGGAGCTGGCTCAAGGCTGAGCTATGTGGTGGACAAATTGTCCTTGCCAGGTTGGAATTGAAGCGTACAGTGATATCTTGTGAGAGACGGACAAAGGCAATCGGTCTGACCCGCTGTTTAAAGTGTGGGGGTTTTAATGTGCAACACGTCTTAAGTGCTACTTGTCTCGTACTGAGCTCACTTCAAGGAAAATCTGGCACAAAAGATAATCAATGGTAAACTTTGCCGTGTCAGCCGCTGTAACAATTCTGTGCGGGGTTGATGATGGGGAAAGAGTGGGTCTCTCAAGAGCGTGACGCTATGTGCGCTCGCGGCACTGATCGTGTAGGCGGATACGCACGCCGAGGACGTAATTCCTCACTGAAAATGTTTGTGGTTCGCTGATAGACTGTGTCGTGGAATGTGGCTACTGCCCACAGCTGTGGTGGTGAGATACACTCGACGTGGTGTGCCGGGTGCAGAAATGTTTTATGGATTGCTGAGCCAGGAAATTAGGTCACGCGTGCGTCTACCTCATCGAGATTAATGTTTGTGAAATTGTATCGAGCGTGGCCGATGCCTTCCAATGGATGGAGTGCGTGGCACTCCTTGGCTGGGCGCATGCTCGCTCGTTATCGGATATCGATATCGCCGGGCAAGGTCTTTCTTTGGCTTGCGAGAGCCGTACGGTGATAATGCGTAATGGTGATTCGATGCATTTGTACCGCGTGGAAACTCATGTTGTTGACTTGCAGCCAGAATCCCGGTGGAAAGGTTTGCACGGCTGTGCTTCCAGGGGCCGCGAATCGACCTTCTCTCCACGCGTCCTGGCTGTATAAACATATGAGCTTTCGCTGTTGAATGCAGCCCAGGCATAATTGACTTTTAAAGGCCCTCCCTGCTGCGCAGAAAATTAAATTTGTTCTAACATACCGCCACATAGCTGAAGCATCCTAACCTCTGGCGTTGCGTGTTCAGCTGCGCTCTTACTGTGACTCGTGGAGAGAGGCGGCGTGGTGGTTTGTGCACTGTGGTACGAACCTGGCGTCCTGAGTGGGCGTAATTTCTGGTCACGGCAAACATCTGTGGTGAATGATATCTTAACCTGACCCGCTGCTTTCATTTATCTGCACTGACGAGCGTGGTGAAGTATTGTCAAACAACTCTTCGTTCATAATCTCCGTTACCGATTGGGTGTAGGGAGGCCTTCATCCAGCACTGGATTTTAAATAATTATTGTGCAAATTTCAACCTTTGAATGTCATTTTTTACGAAAAAAGGACTTGGAGTCCTCCGTGTGCACTTCCTTTGTGAGACGAGCATGGGAAAGCAACAATGGGTGGAGGGAATTTCTTTGTTACATCTAAAAACACTTTTGTTTTCAGAATTAGATCGTGACAGATGGCTTGCGCGGGGCTAACGACGCAGCTCGAATGAACGACTGCACGCTCGAGCCTGCGTCACAAGGGGCAACGGTGGCAGTGATTCTCAGCTGCTAGCCGAGACAGCCGCCTCCTTTTTGCGATGGCGGAAGGGGAGTGGAAGCCGTGTGCGGCTCTGACGCACTCGGCCGCCACTGTCACAGAGGCACGGCACTGCAGACACTTTGTCATCCGCAGGCACCGGCTTAAGGTAGCACAGCAACGGTGACCACCGCCGTCATGTGTCGTGCCGGCCTTCAGAGGTGTTCGCTAACAGCACTGGCCCCAACAGCCTGTTAAGGCTACACGGGGGATCTTTGTTCTTGTACCACGTACTCGTGTACATATTATTGAGGGACTGCGTGTTGTCTTGGTGTGGTCTGGGACTGTTCTTGCTGTTGTTTTGCTGCCTTGCCCAAGCGTGAGAATTTGTATACTTATGGAATTTGAACTTATATACGTGATCTACTTTACATATTCATGTTTTACCGATTTTCTTTCCTTTCTTATGCTTTGCACTGCTGTCGGTTTTTGTTGTTGTGTTGTTTGTTGTTATAACCTTCTGACCCGCCCCTACTGGACATTTGTGAAAGAGAAAAAGCTTCTCAGCTCATCGGATTTCTCCCGAATAAATAAAGATTGTGATTGCGTGCGTGCGTGCACATTCGCGCACGTGTGTGTGTGCGCGTGTAGCTGGGAGACAGCCCGTGCACGTGCGAGGCGTTCCTCACGGTGCTCAAGGGCAGCGAGCTGCTGGACGAGCTCGAGGCCGTGAGGGAGAAGGCGTCCGAAGAGCTGCAGCGCCTGCGCTCCCAGGACACCATCGGGGACGGTGAGCGCCGAGCGTCGTCCCTCGCTAGCGATCGCCGGCGCACTGTGATGCGTCGAAAAACATAATAATAAATAAACAAATAGACCTTTTCTTTTTTTATAAACCCCAAACAAAAATCTGAAAAGTGAGCTAAAGCGGCTTGGAGAGTGGGTGAACGGGGAAAGTGGAGCCCGGCAATTGGTCGCTCATGCTGCAGCAGCTGGCAGAAGGGCATCCACTCAAGGAAGGGCTCTTCCACGCGAGCCGGATGTCTTGCAAGTGGTGGGAGTGCCCACACCCCGGGAGAGGATGCACGCTTGGAAGTACATTGAGAGATGGGGACGAGGAACCCATGGATGAGAGAACGTACTTTTGACAGTTCACCCTTTCCCGTTCTGAGACATTTGCAATTTGCAGGGTGGGTCCAGCTCACCGCTGAATCTCGGAATGTGTAACCAGTTTAGCATGAATTTTATTCAGAAAGGCATAGCGCCGTTGTTTTTAAAGACATACTCACCGCAGAGAACTGTAGTGACACGACCGCACTCTATGATAGCTGGCACCAAGCTGTACCACACCCTCCCGCATGGCCTTGTGGGAGCCTCAGCACATCTTCCGACCTGATTACGTCCCGATAAAGTTATTTTATTCTGTTCCAATGACGTACATATACGTGTACGTCATCGGAAGAAAACTGATGACGTACAAGTATGTCATCGGAATGGGGAAAAGGGTATAGAAAGTGAGTGGGCTTTGAGCAGGACGCGTCACTCGGAGGTATGATAGACGGTGGTTGAGACTGACGACAGAGTGGCAGCCAAATTGGCAGCCAAAGTGGCAGCCAAAGTGACAGCCAAAGGAGCGAACACGCATAAGAGGACGTCCACCCCAGAGATGAAATCTGCTCGTGCTCTGGTGCTAGATGGATTGTTGCATCGTAGGACTGTGAGAGATGGCCTAGGGAGGTGGTGTTTTATTTTTATCCAGCAGTGGATTATTCGTGGTCTTTTGGTGATCAAGACAAGGACCATAATTATAAGATTTAAAAAATACAAGGGCCTGGTTTGGCAGTGGTGTGTAAGGACAAACAAGAAAAGTTCGCTAGTTTAACATTTACACTGCCTTATGTCATGAAAATATTTCATAAGGTAACATTTTTGGTCATAGGCCTTCAGAGAAAAGAGAAGGCGGATAGAGCAGACGAGTCATTCTCTGTATCTGTAATTCAGCCTCTGTCTGATAAAGGGCTGTTGCCTGAAAAACAAGGCTGCCGCTGCTGCTCCATCTCTGGGTTGTGACGCAGCGTTCTCGATGAGCCTTGCAATTGTGTACATTTCTATGAGAGTTCCCCTGTGGAACACCCTTGGCTCTTAAATCGGGTGCAACCGCAACAAACAAAAACAAAAACATGAACAAGAAAACGTATTAAAGTGACTATGTGCAAACAGAAAAATCCAGGAAAAAACTGCAAAATTTTCTAGAAAAAAAGCACCGTACACCAACGCTGTGCAAAAAGCCCAGTGGGATGCAAGTCAAACAACAACCACAAGACAACTTAGATTAAAGCCATCATTCTAACTCCGTACTACAACAAACAAACATGGCCAAACCAAAAAACTTTTCGAAATCACCAAAATTAAGCCATAAAAGCAATGTAACAGTGATTATAGGAACTGTGACCGAAATTTTACAATAAATTACATAAACAACATGTACCACCAAACCCTGTAGCCATAGTTGGCTGCATGAGTCACTCCACAACAGCAGGAGCATCAGTAGGAGTATCAAAATTTTCCAAGACGTGCAGTCCCAGTAGCGACGCCACTGTGTGATGCGCGAGGTCGTGCGGTCTTCTGGGCCGCGCACGACAATTTGTCGGACGTTGACATTCACCGAATCCTTCCTGCGTGTCTCGGGCAGCCTCCCCGCTCCAGTCGCCCCGGCGAGTGCACGCCCGACGAGGAGTTGCAAATGCGCACAATTAGTTTGTACTCCCAGCGTGGCGGATTCTTTTATCTTCCTTCTCCGAATCCAGGTTTCTTGAGCATGTATGCAAAGACCCTTCAGGCACCATCATTAGTAGCCTCTGCTGGTAAGAAATTTGTGGGAGTAAACTTAAAAATAACCACCGTATTATAATTGTTTATGTTTTTAGCCAATGGAGCAGTTTTTTTTTTTTGCGTGTGATTCTAATTGCCCTCCTCTGGTGTGTTGCCAGTGTTAGGGGGTGTTACATTTTCCTCTGCCATCGTGTGCGATCACCAACCTCGCCGTCTCGCCAGTCCCGAGACAACTGTCATCAAGAACGCACAGCAGCGTCGAGCGCAAACATGCCGCGCCGGCAAATTCAAGCTCATTAAGGGTTTTTTAAGCAGCTTAGAATCTAAAATGGCTTTAGATCAGCAGAAAATTGTGAAATAAGGTATATTTGGATGGGTAATTTTCTGTTTTTAAATAGGCCACAGGGGTATTCTGCAGTGGCAGAACAGAGTCGCAATTATTAATGGTGACGCCTCTGGGTTTTGTTTTCGAAGACCTAATTTTATCCCGTCACTCGTCCCCAACTGGTCGTGCCTCCCATCATTAGAACATGAGGCCGCGGCTAATTGGAAATGCTTATCTTCATTTCCTTTTGTCACAGTCAGGAGCTGAGAATGTAGAATTACAAGGGTAATTCAACCAAATTAATAATTGCGTAAATGTGTTTGTTAAACGCAGGGGACGCGAAGGTGTAACGTCCTCACAGAGGGTTGCATGCAACACCCGTGTAACGTCGTTGTAGAGAGTTGCATGCAACACCCATGCCACGTCCTCGTAAAGAGTTGCATGCAACACCCGTGTTACGTCATAGAGAGTTGCATGCAATACCTGTGTTACGTCCTTGTAGGGAGTTGCATGCAACACCCGTGTTACGTCCTTGTAGGAAGTTGCATGCAACACCCATGTCACGTCCTCGTAAAGAGTTGCATGCAACACTGGCATAGAGATGATGAATCGGCCACTGCTTTCATAGATTATCTTTAAACGACTGTTTATTTATAAGAATGATAACATCAAAACAAATCGTTCTTCTTCACGTTCAAATTAATCCAAAGCAAACGAGGCGTGATTATTATTACAAGAGATACAATCATGCATTGATTAATCGATTAACATTGATTCTTAGGCTCGCGATACGCGTTGTGAGAATCAACGTTTACAACAGTCAAACTGTTTGTATTTGTGTGTAAGAATAGCATATTATACGTTTACAAGTGTGGTATTTAATGGGTTCAGATGACCCCCCCTTCCAGCAACGAAGATGCCGCCAAGTTGATCACAACGTTCATAAAACGAATTGATTCCAGAATCAAACTGAGACCTTGAATCACGACAAGTCAACGAATTGCAAGGAGAGCGGGGGAAGCATAATCACTACGATTGTATTCATTGCACCACTGGTTATCACTACACGTTGATGAAATGCGTAACGTACACGTCAGGCATATTTACAAAATGTGCGCGGTCGGCAAGCCACGTATGGAAGCCTGTTGCCACTCGATGCGTCTTGTAAAACTATTTGACCAGAGCCCATCAGAAACGGAACTCTAATCCCGTATGAAATATTCATCGGCACGCGCCACGTGCTCTAAAGGTCTGTACAGTGCCTTAAATTATTTATGAAGCGTTCATTAAAAAAGTGGCATTACTGTCGCCGTTACAATGGCAAGCTGGGGCAGCGGGGAGGGGGGGGGTCCGGCCTGACGGTGAGGTCCCCGGTTCTGGTTTGTGCGATCATGTGTCCTGACAATCGTACGACGGCACCTTTTGGTCGGCGGTGCACCGCGTGCTTCCCGCTGCGAGCTTGGGAAATGGCACGTGGAATGGACACCACGTTGCCCTGTGTGTTATGTCTGCCACGTGTACACGCACGGCGGTCGGAGAGTTTGGCCAACGAGGTATGGAAAGCACGAGCTTCAGTTGTTCGGTGCAAGCCGCCACCCCTATCTGTCAACATCAGGTAAAAATGTATTACAACCCCCGTGTCAATCTGCCGCTGGGTCAAAGCTTCCCCATGCCGTGTTGTAGTAGGGGCTGCTTGACTCCTTCACCACGTAGTGATGGGGGCTGGTCCAAGAGGAGGAATCGAACTCGGGTGATTGGGTTCATAGCGCAGTGTGCAAACCACTTTACCAGTGCTCCTTTGTTCGTACTATTCGTGCATATTGTGGGGCTTTGCAAAAGGCATGATAGTATGTTTCGTCTTCCAGTTTGTAATTAAATATATTTTTTGGAACCTGTATACCTTATGTATTCCAATTGCTTGCAAGCTGCAAGTGCAATATATATATTTACCCCACATATCTTACAGAAACAATAGGGACATGATATTTTGAGCAAAACAGTAAGCGTTTTAACACGTAGGCTTTCGCGACCAATATTATTCATAATACACTTTTTTGGGTTAGATCGCGTTATTTATAAATGTGTTGTAACCCTCCACCACCCGACACGGCCATTCAGCAAAAAAATGTGTCACGTTGACAAAAGACAAATAGTTCACTACTTTAGCCCACCGGTGTGTTGAAGAGTGAATCCACAACATTTACAATTTTTGAGTACGGCGTTTCGCTGGTAATTGCATCCAGCATCATCGGGCAATTCGTTGATGTTTTCCGGAAACTGGGTCCCGCCGACAGTGATGGCAGGGGTGGCAGCGGCATCGGCAGCGACAGCGGAGGGTTCATTTCTGCCGTTGCCCTGTGTGCGCGCGTCCACGGCAGCTGACACCTCCACACGGCAGCAGCAGGAGCAGCAGCAGCAGGCGCCCTACCGTGCAGTGCTTTTTCCCCCCAACGTGTTTGTTGACATAAATGATAAACAGGAAGTTCAAAGGCAAGGCGTGTAACATTTCACTCAGCACCCGACATGCGACCAGTGAACTGATGAATTGTCACTGTTGCGTGTATGTATTTTGACTTCTTTTGCACCGTGCGTAGCCATCGATGCGAAACAGTTTGAGGTCTCAAATCAGTTGAAGAGTCAATAGTTTTATTTTGTTTTCACCATCGTTTGTTATTTGCTCTGGATTGTGCATCCATTTTCATTAGCTTAAACGTAGTAGAAAAAAACAATCATATACTTTGTATAAATCCATAACCGGTTCTCAGATGCATTTTTCTTACGTAGTTTTTTTTTCTTTTTTGATCATGGTGCGAGTGCATTTTTGTGGTTTGCGTTTCAACAAGGCGCTTTCAGATGCCATTGAATGAAAGCGCCCAATAAATGCCAAGTCCCTGTCCTCGAGTATCGTGAGCGCAAGGGGTCAGCCCTAATTGATGAATCGACGAATCGTTGCATGCAGATTCAATTCCCTGCAGTAAATAAACATACAGTTAGACACAGTGCATGGGGGTGAAGGTGGAGGAGTGCGTGAAGTGAGTGGAGGTGCATGCTGGGTGCGCGTGTGTCAGATGTGGGAAGTGGTAGTGCAGCGGCTCGCGCGCTGCGCTACGAACCCGGCGACCCGAGTTTGATTCCCGCTCACGGCCAACACCAGTGAAGATTATCTGAACTGGTCCTGGGCCTCCCCTAGGTCGACTCGGCCTCAAATGAATACGTGGTATGATGTGTAAACATCGCCACTGGGGAGACAAAGGCGGTCGGGCGTGGTGTTGGCCACCCACCCCCTCGTGCGCCGTGCCGGCCTTCATAGGCGCTCGCTAACAGCACTTGCCTCAATAGTCTGTTAATAGGCTATATGGGGGATCTTTGTCTTTGTGTCAGATGTGACGGTGAAGGGGCAGATGAACAGCCTGCAGTTTGTCAAGAAGCTGTGCGAGGTCAGGATGGATCGGCTCCGGTGTGGCAAGGTGAGGAAAGGAGACCCTTGAAGGGACCTCGGAGTGATGTTATGGACTCGTCCCCTGCACCCCTCTTCCCCCTCTCATCTCTCTCTACTTCTGTCCGCTCACTCTTCACTCCAGCAACCAAAGCCTTTTGTTGAAGCCCCCATTCAACCTTATCTCAGTTGGGGGGCGGGAGGGGGTCCACTTATTCTCCTCCGCTGCCCCTATCATCTGGAACTTCTTTCCCCCAGCCACCCATGCTGTTAACTTCCTGGTCCGCTTCAAGTTTTTCCAGCATCTAGACTTTTTTTTCCTGTGCCTATGACTGGCTGCCTCGATAAGATAAATGCCTATACTGTTTGCCATACAGCACCTTCAGATGTTGTCACGTTTATAATTTATATAGATTCACGTTATTGCATTGTGTCTTGCAAAGATGAACCACTCTCTGCAATGGTTCCGCATGGACATTACTTCATATCGTGACATAATGCCAGCCACATTATACAGAGACACTTACTTTTGGAGTTTTTGGACACAATATCCCTATAACTGTGGGCATGAACTGCGGACCCAATGCTACCGGCAAAGGTTGTTTTCGCTGGCAGCTAGGGCAGAAGAAGTCTCTCCTTTTAAATGTCTGGTTATGGACAACGAGTACAGGTCTTAACGCCCATTCATTGCCTCAGCGCTCGATTTATGACTTTATTGCAATGTTCCTCTGGCACGGCACGTGACGCACTTTGCACATGACAGCTTACACTTCCTTTGAATTGTGTCCACTGCACGTCTGTGGTCTAAGTTACTTATTTGTTCTAAAAGCGGAAATTTCCTGCCAGCCACAAGGCACATTCTTTTATGTCATCTGCATTTGCATCGGCTGTGAAGGTGGGGTGGGGTGGGGTGCAGGGGTGAATGGGGGTAAGGGTGCGGTGGACACGTAACACGTTATCTCCGATTTTTATTTATTTACGATGACACAGTTGCATTCATCGTGCTTGGCTTCATCATTTTTTGGCCGCTATCTTGCTAACGAACACTTGGCCAGAGAGCCCACTGGGACCTCTAGGTCGGGATTATATGGAGGGAGGCACTCCTACGGCTTACGAATGCCGGCTTGAGGATAAGCCGACCGGAACGGGGCAGCGCTTCTGGGATGCACAGTTGCATTATTATCGCTGTCGCTGCGGTCCATCGGTGCGCGTGCCGGCTCAAGCGGCATGCCGAGCATACGTACCGCCGCGATATTTAATTTGGGGGATTTTTACCCCCCTCCTCCCCCCCCGCCACCTCTCTCTCATGGCAAAGTGGGATATTTAAACGATTCGGTTACAAGCGAGCGGAATCATTTTTTTCGTCGGACGTGGCATTAAGGAATTGATATGCAACGGCCGTCCCTCTCAAGCCGTACAAATAAAAACACCGCGGCACCCGCGGTACCCCTCCCCCCTCCACTTGATTATTAACGTTAGAAACACAACGATTCTCGCTGTGAAGTGCATCGGTGGAACGTAATGGACTTTGCGCGTACGCATTTACACTTTGTAGTACAACAAATAATTGTACTCTGCGCAGATGTCCTGCGTCACATTTACAAATATCAAGCTTCACTTTTTTTGGTTAAATGGTGATTAAAAATGATGACCCCTTTCCCAAATGTATTTCAGGGTGTTATCAGCCGTGTGTCACGAGACCAAGAATTGCATTAGAAACAGGGTGGCTGCCAAAGTTTAATTTTACAGAACTTATCCAACAGGCGTTGCACTTTTCCCACACACCCTACTATGTATGAGGTTGCATGACACACGACCAGTCTAAAAAAATGTATTTTTGTTATTCTCAGCGCTCGCATTTAGGCAAATTAACTGCAAATCTATTGAACTCTGATGGGGTTTTATTTTGGTCACACTAAACTGTTTAATCACAGGTGGCTTTAACCCAGATTCGAACCCAGGGTCTAAGCAAAGCCGGCTCAGCGCTCCGACCTCGAAAGCCACTCGACCACCTCCAAACTTGAAAATCTTTCAAGTGGGAGTCTCTCCGAGGCATGACAGGCATGAGCAGAGACACAGAATTTGGCAAGAACAGGTTAAACGTATTTTCCAGTAGTGTGAAAAACTTTGGAGCAAATGATGCTTGAATGTTAGCCACAGCATGGTCACATTAAAAGCCCAGGGCTTGTAAACATTTTAATGGAATTGCATCTGCGTTGTCCCTTAATGTTACCGCTTAACGTTAAGCGTTAGCTGACTGTTAAACACACCACGCGGTGTCCGTAGCTGTGTGTTGAGCTAAGAGCGCACCCTATTGCAGCATGATTGAAGATTATTTCGATTATTTGGCTGCTATACATTTCTACATGATAAGCCACCTCTTTGAATTAGTGTTTGTGGCCAGGTCTCTTCTGAAAAAGAAGCTAAAAGCTCAGTGGGCTTTGCCTGGAAAAGTAGAAATAGTTGAGTTTAGTTTGTGATTTGTTTACCTTTTCTATACTACTCCTATTGTAGTTTTGTATCGTTTGTTGTAACTTTTTGACCCGCCTCGACTGGACATCTGTGAAAAAGAGCTTTATAGCTTATGGGATTCCTCCAGTATAAATAAAGATTCCAATTATTTTTGAATGCCCTGCTGGACAAACAAAGAGGTACAACACCACTCGCATTCACCGCGTGAAACCTCCGATACATTTTTGTTCATTCGTTTTGAAAGCAAGCGTTAATGCTTTGTTCTTGAAATAAATCTAAATATTAACATTTTGATAGCCAGGGATGGAGTCTTTTAAAATTGGCATTCTGGCAAGTATGTCCGTATTCTTATTCACATGGCTGATGTAGGTGGAGAGAAACATCTGTCTCATTACATTGAGGTTGTAGAGTCATAAAATTGCATCAGGAGTAGCGTAGTGTATCCCTGCAAGACCTTCAGTATGTTCATGAAGCGATCTGTGCAAAGCTTTGAGTGTTAACCTCTCTCCGGATATTCCAATTTCTTCCCATGTGCAAAGCAACAACAACAATAACGTTTATTTCTTTGACATGCTCATGCAAATGCATCTCAAGATGCTCTGCAGAAACGGTGCCAAAAAAGTCTCTCAAGTGCTCCCAAACAAGAGAATGAGCTAAACATCCCAATGCAGGAAGATCCTTCTGAAAAAACAGTCCTGAGACTCAATTGCAGCTCTCCTGGAAAGATAAATGAAATGACTATGATTGCTATTAACATGTATTGAAGTCTCTGCTGCGATGTCGTCGATAGTTTGTTGAAGCGGCGGTTTTACACGCCGCAGGCAAGGCAGGGGCGCACGTCATGAGCGGCCGTTGGCGTAGAAGCTGCAGGGGCCACTGAGCGAGGCCAACGCTCGCCTCCCTTTTTTGTTCCCAACGCAGGAGCAGGAGCTGGAGTGCTCGCGGCTGCCTGCGAACCTGGGCAAGCTCTGCGTCATCCCCCTTGATGACATCCTGGGCAATAACATCGCCCTGCAGTACTTCATCGGTGAGCCGCACACGTCTTAAAGAAAACGGTCAATGCGCAGCATAATTTTTTTGTGATCTTTGACCTCTTCCGTTTCCATCGTCACCCGTCCCCTCCTGCCCCACACAACCCCTCACCTCTGGTGTGTCTGTCCACCGATTGCCAGGATGCGCGGGAATGCGACGCTTCTTGTCACTCTTGTCCGACGGCGTCAGCGCCGGTTCATGGTTCCCCCAGCTTTTGGGGCGTTTAATTTAATCCGTTGAACCCCGTTGCCCATCACCCGTCGTGGCGGCAGGGAACGGCCGGCTTCCTGTGAGATCATGCATCCCTGTTGGTGCCATGCCTGGCTGAAACGGCAGCTTCGTGCCTGCGACTCTTTAAACACTCAAAGGCAGCCTTGTTTCCCGTGGCCAGAGCCTCTCAAAGGAAATGTGCACAATATCCCTTTGCTGCTCGCTCAAAAGAGCAAATATTCTCGGGAACACAAGACGTTCAGAGCTTTTTAATTTATTTATATTAAATCCTTTTTAATGACCCCTCTCTTGCTCGTGAAACTTGCTCTATTGCGTTGGCGCGTTAACCCTGCTCCTGCCCTGTGATCTGCATGCGGAGTGACTTATCGGCACAACGAGCCCTGCCTTGCCGTATGCAGGTCGCGCTCAAGCCCTCGTGTGTTCAGTGCAGTAGAAAACAATTTGGGTTTATTTAGCGGCGTCCGATTGCGAGCACACTTCAGGAAGCTGTACACGAAAAACATTGGACGTATTTTAATGTGTGGAGAGATGCATTCGGTCATAGGTGGAGGACAAAAGAGGATGGTCTTGAGACCTGCACAGCACAGATGGCTGGGGGGGAAGGGAGTTCCAGACTATGGAGGAGAGTGCACGACTATTGGGGCAGTGGAGGGAGAGAGCGTGGCGGTGAGCGCCGTGCAATCTCGCACGGGCTGTACTTCGTGAGAGGCGTCAAGCCGGCGGACGTGACCTTGCGCTGAGCGGACACTGTCACGGTGATTTTCCACACCGATGGCGAGCGCTGCAGTGTCACACGGGAGAGCAGAGGGGTTTTAGCCGGAGACGGGCCCTACGGCCGTACATCTCTGCAGCGCCGTGCGCAGACGTGTGCTCCCGCCTGCGCTGTGCGATCGCGACTCGTGCTTCATCAGCGCCACGCATGTCGGGCCCCCGATATTTGATACGGACGTCAACATGGCCCTGCCCACACTGCGCCCGCACCGCACACCTCCAATGAGCACGGTTGGCTACGTACGGCGCAAAATAAATTCAGCATGCATACTTACACCGAATTCATTCCAAATTGGCACCGTTCGGGGCTTAATTTCTCACCGAATATTTCCCGGGTCGCTGGTAGATTGAGAGTTGGCACGTGACTAGCAGCCAGAGCCATAACAGGAGGTTATACCGGATGTGGTGTGTCGGGTGCGGGGATATTTTCCCTGCCACTGACTGAGACAGACGCGGCTGAATTGGAGCCCCGGCGCTAACGTTGGGGAGTTTTTACTGACGAACCGGGTTCGTGGGTGGCAGCCCGGTGTGAATTTCAGATCGAATGGTGGGCACAAAGCAGAGGCGGTTCCTCCTGCTAATAGCAACAACGTCATTGGCGATGAAACCACTTCGTAGCATTCGACATCAAAGAAAAACAATTAGTCCTGCCAAAAATGCATGCTTGCAATGATACGTGACTTTTTTGTGTACGAATGTATTTATATTCGTGTGTGTTGTGTTCTAGTCTTTCGTATGGCAGCAACTTGTTCGGGAGATAGATGCCATTGTCGAGGTCTGTTAGCCAGGAGCACAGACTTTGGTGGTTTATCCAAAATAAAGCTTTTCTTTTGGTGGTCAAGAAAGTCTTCGTGTTCTACAGTGGTTTACTTTGTGGTCCATAGTTTGGAGTTGCATGGCCACAAACGCACGACTGTGGCCTGCATGTCTTGTCATGTAATTAGTTCATGGTGACCCCTGCAGTCACTAGAGGCGCTACATTCACCACGTTGTTAAAGCGGAATCGGTGTTTATTTGAATCAGATCCTCATCCGTGACATTTCAGCAAACGATGGAGGGAGGTGGGGTGCATGAATAGTTCCACCACCAGTAATATTGTTTGCACGTAGAAAATAAGATTATCTTCAAATCACTGGATGGTTACCCAAACACAAAGCTTTATGATGACTCATAGTATGAATACGAATGACGAGATTCCACGGAGGTACATCAAGTATATCTGCTGAGGTTGTCTTGACCAGCTAAAGCACGACTTATAATAATTTCTCTCCTCGCAGAATATTAATCATGTTTAAAGAAAAACCAAAAGCATTGTTTAATTCACCAAAATCGCACGTGCTCTTGTACGAGGGCTGCCAGAGATGGTTTGGGAGTGCTAATCATTGACTAAGTTGTAAGGAGTAACCAAACTACGACACTAAAAAAAAAAATTCCACGTAAGGCCCACTAAAAATAATAGCTCAACGAAGTGGCTTATCGTATGGACATTTATAGACACCAAATACTCTAAACGCATGTTCCTAAATGTGGAGGGAAAAACCGGAGTGCCTGGAGAAAAGTCCACGTTATCACAGGGAGAACATGCTGACTCCAAATATCCAGCAGGCGTCAGGGTCAGGATCGACCCGACAACCTCCTGCATACCAGGCGTAGCAGGGTTTAATTCTAAGACCAGTCCAGATAAAGTAAATAAAGAGACAATTTATGGACGAAGGACATGTCCATCTGCAGTAGACGTACAGGCTACAATACTCCTGCGTTTGAGAGAAGGCCTGGATAACGTTCGTGCGGTGGATTGTGCACTAGGAGTGATGTCTGTGCCGTCCCTTGAACTCCCCCCATCACCAACGTACACCGGTCAGCGTGGTGCAGTATGCTCGATTAGATCAAGTTACTCCCATGACCAACAAGTGACGAAGGGACTGTTAAAAGGGAATTCTGAAACAGGTTTTTTTTTTTAAATGACGTGGAATGAACATTGGGCCTCTGTCATTTGTAGCAGCAGCAGCAGCTGTCATTGTGAGTGGCTCTCGCGGTGCTGGGTGCGGACGACAGGGCTGGGGCGGCGGGGGGGATGGGGGTGCGACGTTGCAAAGTTGTGATGCCCGGGCGGGCGCACGTGCACCGTATGCCTCCTCAGATTACATGCAGAGCATGGCGGCGCAGGCGCTGCTGTTTTTCTGGCTCATCGTGGAGGGCTACCGCGTGACGGCCGAGCAGCAGCTGGACGCGCTGCACACGCGGGAACGCGTCGGCGCCCCGCGCCACGCGCCGCCCACGCACAACCTCGTCGTCATGCTGCGCAACGCCGCCATCGGAGTCTACGAGCAGTACCTCGGCGAGAAGGTGGCCGGCGCGCGAGCGACCGGGCGGCGTCGATGCTGGCGCGCAGCTCGTTTGTACAGAACAACTGTCGAGTCGTATGGTGGCGACTGTTGCCCAGCACTAGCGTGCCATGTGTGTGTGTGTGTGCGTGTCCCACGGGAACATCAGTGACGAGTCATACCTTTGTCGACTTGGCCTTAAATGAGTACCTGGTGCGATGTGTAAACATCAGCACTGGGGAGACAAGTGACTGAGCATGGTTCTGGCCACACCACTCTCTCCTTTGTTGCACTCGCATTCAATGTTTCTTTGCTAACAGCACTTCCCCTACCAGTCTACGTTGGCTACACAGGAAGTCTTTCTCATTGTCCCACGTACCTTCAGCCGGGTTGGATATAGTCAACTCCGTAGGCAAACTGGACGAGGCACAGGGTTCACCTTGATTGGTAGGCCTCGCCGTGCCAAAAACCCAAGCCGACGCTGACCGCTGTGGTCCTGGAATCGGCCGAGTGGCTGGACAGGGTTGGGGGTCGTTGAAAAAGACCTCGGCTAGTGCGGCCCAGCCCTACTGCCCACGCTCCAGTCCACCTCCGCACGCGCACCTGGGCCGCTTGCGCCAACACCAATAGAGGAGCCACTTGCAGCTTAAAACCAGCCGGCTTAGCGCGAGCATGGGCCACGGTCTGGTAATTGAAATTTAGCAGTGATTACAGGATTAGACGTTTAATCTGTAATCTATGAGAACTCGCTTCAAATTTAACCCAAATGTTTGCATTTTGTCATCTATTCACCTGTATTGACATCGGCCGTTAATGATGTTTGTGTGTGTGGCACGTGATGCCCTGCGCTGCATGCAGGCGTCCCCTCGCGTCCGCGTGGAAGACTTGATGCTGGCCAACTTACGCGAGAAGCTGCACAGGGAAGATCTTCCTCCCAACTTGTTCCCAGCCCTCTTCGATGACATCCAGAGGAAGGTTGGTCCGCCAGTCGTACTTTGTTTTTGGGTCTGTTGTCATCGTTTTGCTTTTTTTATGGGGCAATAATTGCGGTGTTTATTTAACATGGCGCGACTAAGAACCCTAAGTGTAGTGTACGCATGTTGGTCACCAATCCAAGATTATCTTCTGAGATCTGACAAGATTTAAACATGGGCAAAAATAACTTTACGTAAACTGTACACACAGTTAGATTTGCAGTGTGTGTATATGTGTCATTATTTTAATATTGTGTAATAATTATTAAAGTACTCACTGGATGTGTGTGTGTGAGTGTGGACCTAGCGTGGCGCAAGTGACGTGATGTCGTCACCACCACTTGGTGACAGATGCGGGTTGTATGTTTGCACAGTGTGTTTGTATGAAACTGGGCTGGCACAAACACCGTGGTGACATCACCACCACTTCGTGGTGAATGGCGACTTTACGCACTTGAGTTTGTGTGCGTGCCTGTGTACGTATGTGTGTTTGTATGTGTGTGGAGAGCTGTGGTTCAGTGGTCAGTGCACTGCTTTGTGGACCTCTTGACCTGGTTACAGCTAACATCTCAATGGCAAGTGATATCTGAACTGGTCTTGGGGACCTCCCCGATGTCAGCTCAGCCTTAAATGGGTACCCGGTACAATGTGCTTACATCAGAACTGTGAAGGCAAAGGTGGCCAGGCACGGTGCTGGCAAAACTACCCCATCGTGCGCCGTGCCAACCTTAATACGTGCTCACTGACGGCACTTTCCGCAACACTCCGTTAAAGGCTCCATGGGGGATCTTTGTCCGTTTTCTGTGTATGTGTGTGTGTGTGCGTGTGTGAAGGTGTACGATACCATGCTTCGAGATGACCGCTACTACCCGGGCTTCAAGCAAAGCTCGTTTTACGTCAAAGCGCTGGCCGAGCTGGACATGCTCAAGGAGCCGAGCATCCGGGAGGGGGATGATTCGGGTAACGGAGCTTCTGGGATGGGGATGATTTGGGTAACGGAGCTTCCCGGAGGGAACGATTCGGATAACGGAGCTTCTGGGATGGGGGACGATTCGGGTAACAGAGCTTCCGAGAGGGGAACGATTCGGATAACAGAGCTCGCTAGCTGCGCACGGCACACGGCCGCTTCCGGTGACGACCCGCAGGGAGATTCCCATTGATGCGGCCCCACGCGATGGAGGTCGCGGTTTGAGTTTTGAACTTTAGTCGAGCTCTGCGTTTGTTGCTCTCGCTTGTCCGAAGTCCATTATCTTCACCCTGCATTGGTTGCCTCTCGAGCGTCACCAGTGGCGCGCACGCACAGCCCTTTTGTCAATGCCCTGTTGGGTTCGGGCTCCCCACGCCAATGCGAGCCGTGCCGGTTGTCTGACCGTACTTAACAGCCGCTCGTCAATGGGAGTTGGTGAAGATGGTGGGGAGGGGAGCGTAGAAGTGGGAGAGTTGATGCCCAGTACAATGACGGGTTTTGCTGTGCTGCCATTCGCCGCCCTCCACGGCCTATAACAACCGGACGTGCACGTTCATCACCCGCGTGGTTTAAAACAATTCACTTGCGCATTTAGCAGCACTCTTGTAGCACCGTAAAGTCTGTATCCCCAGGGGGTTATGGTGAATGATACATTTACGTGAACGTCTTTTGTTTGACAGAATCCTACAATGGGTCTCCGGCGAGCAGCTTGAATGTGGTAAGAGAAGACAATGTCACAATACGTGTGCGATTGCGCAACTGTAGCCTAGTAAAGGATTAGGAGTGAGTTTTTTTTTTATAGTAAGCTCATTTTTTTGTGTGCTTAGCTTGTTGTCCTTCCCCCGCACCTCAGATTTCGCATGGGTGGCTGCATACGGTGCGACGGACGTTCTACATACATACATTTGCTGGGATTAAAGTTTTACAATAATATTAATAACAAACATTTGTTTCCAAGTCACATCCTTTGCCTGCTGGGCCTTGTGTGCCAGTCCCTAGATGACCTGTCTCTGACAGCCCAGACGCCCAGCCCAGAAGAGCCCGGGCAGCTCCAAGCACAGATCACCGAAACCGGTAAATGCCACCTCCGGACGTCGGCTCAGTTGCCAGGCAAACACGGTCGAAGCAAAAAGTTTTGGCGCCTGCAGAGCGCCGGTGGTCGTTGGTGTCTTGTGGCCGAGCCTCACAAAGCGTCCGCTTGCCCCGGTGGCAGGGGTCGGCAATGAACACGGCAAGTCCTACACGCTGTACGCCATCACTGTGATGCGCCGCCACCACGACGGCAGCCAGGACAGCTGGGACACGTTCCGGCGCTACAGCGACTTTAACGACCTGCACATGCGCATCACCGAACAGGTGAGGGGCTCCCGCGCGCCCCCGTGGCCCCCCCCCCCCGCCCCCACAAACTCGCTCGTGCACGCGCATTGACGCTTTCAATCCTGCCTTATATTGGCAAACGCATTTTCTCATTACCACCGCCTTGAATATAAAATGTATATAATAGGCGACGTTTCTGGCCTCTCTGGGTGCTGTAAAGAACGGCCATTGCCTTAAGCGTCGCATATTATAGTCTTCTTATTTAAGGCAGTGTTAGTGACTAATGTATTTTGTTGGTTTGTTGTTTGTACTCGTGCACCAGTTTTAACGCAGTATCGCCAAATAATTTATTTACTTCTCGTGAGCCATCCAGTGGCTGCCAAAGGACAGTATCTTGGCTCCAATTAAGTCAACAACTTGACAAGGTTGTGTATTTAGTTGACAGAGATGCCAGGTAACTCAAATTCGTGTTAAATATTTTATATTCTTGGTTCTTTCGGTACAGTCATGTAGGAGGGAAACAATAAAATAATAAAAATATAAAACATTCTTTTATTGTTTCCCTTCTACGTGACTTTACGAAAGAACCAATAATATGAATCCCTACGTGTCACGAAAGCTTTAAATCAAAATTCAATATTTTACTTTACAATTGCATGGTCACATGTTCCCAACATGCAGCTCATTATGAATGCACGTTACTCTGTTGGTCTCTTTATTTGTCCCTGTTTTGTGGTTGATCAGTTTGAGAACCTGGCCAATTCGCTGAAGATGCCCGGCAAGAAGACCTTTAAGAACATGGAGAAAGAATTCCTGGAGCGGAGGAAAAAAGAGCTCAATAAGTACTTGCAGGTGAGTGAATGGTTTCAGCCTCCCACCGAATGAACCTAATTGCACCCGATTACATCAGATCTGCGAAGTTAAGCAGGTTGGAGCCTGGTTACCACATGAAGATGGTCGACCGCCAATGTTTCCCAGGTGCTGTAGGCATGTCGCTGCGAGGTGGCCAGGAGATGCTTACCCAATGCCTGGTGGGTTGATCCAGGTTTTTCAGTTTCCTTCCACATGCAGCCAAACACTCATTAATGGGTTGGCCAAACATCCCAGTGGAAAACCTTGCCGCATAACAATTCTGAGACTACATCTGAGCGATAAGCTCAGAGAAAAGGAAGAAAAATACGCATGAACATGGGGTCCATTCCTTAACCTTCGACGAGTCTTAAATACCTGAGCCCAGAACGGCAATGACCGGCCAACCCCCCCACCTCCCCCAAAGAAAATCCCTTCCTTCCCCCCCACACACCGCACCCTGATCAGTCCAGTGTGCCTGAAACCGTCAATGCCCCCTGGTAATATCGCCCCGAACATCACGATGTATAATATGAGGGAGGATGTGAAATAATAAATGTTTTATGAAAATTAGAATTCTGAGACTTAGCGAGGCTTTTCTTATATTATTATTTGGCATTCGTATTAGCTCATTGATTAAATCAGCTTATGCGCATTTGCACGTTGAACTTATTTCGCACCGTACGCAGCCAACCGTGATAATTAGTGGTGCGGGAGTGATTGCAACGGCTTGGGGAGGAGACTTTCATCCAGAAGTGGATTGATTATGGCTGATGATGATGATGGTGATAACAGTGGTTAGTATCGTGACTAACAGACGGGTGCCGTGAGCCACGGCAGTCGTGTGCCATTCACATGAGCGCGGCTGCATGAGATTTCTCCGGTGGAGTCGTGTGAAATAATAAATAAATAATGTACAGCTATTCTCAATCTACTGCTGGATGAAGGCCTCCCCACGCCACATCGATCATTAGGGGAGGCGGGGGGGGGGGTGGTGTGGTTATCGACTGGGAGATTGCTCCGCTGATGAGTAAATGCGACCTTGCAGGAGATTCTGAACGCGGAAGTGATCAAGGCGCACCCAGGCCTGTCCACGATCGTGTTCGTCTTCCTGGAGAACAAGCCCTACAACAGGGGCAAGGGCGACTTCGCGAGGAAGGTTCGTCGCACGGACTTGTGCGCACCGCAGCAGCCGTGCACCGGGACAGAAGGCGTGTGGCGTTTGTGGCATGCAATTATCAGACGGGTTGCCGTGGCTATGTTTGATATCTTCGTGTCTTTTCTACATGGAGCCAGGTGCTCTTAAACGTCACGTGATACGCCGATTAAACGTCAATACATGCAATGTCTATCCCAATTTTTTAAGACTTTTCTAAATATCACATTCCAATGCGGCTAAAGTGCCCGAGTCCATGCTAGCTCCTCTCCATTGCGTTGTGAGAGTATTTTGCTGCTGATATATATTTCCCCGCGATAAGCCACTTGGTTGACCTATCATTTGTGGCCAGGTCGCTTCTGAAAAAGAGTTGAATACCTCGGTGGGCCTTACCTGATAAAGTAAAAACCGTTTAGCGTAGTTTAGTAAGCCACGTTGTCTTGTCTTCTCGCGCACTTTCACGTCAACAAACATCTGTGATCAGAGTATTCCGATGCAAACGTCGCATCATAGAACCGCTTTTGCTGCTAATGCAGTTGATCCCAAATGCTCCTGTCAGCATTCTTGCATTGCCCCAATACCCCGGGTCACCCCACTGCTTTCCATTCCAATCCCAGGTCATTTTCAAGATCGCACTCACCATGTTCACAATACTCAATGGAGTCACACCTGCCTACCTCTCCCTCCGCTGTAATCTCACGCTACTCCCCTCTACGCACTCACCTACCTCTACCCTCTCTGGTCATCCTTTGCTCAGTAGGAGATTGCTCATTTTCTGCTGTCCCTATGATTTGGAACTTGCATCTCCCAGCCATCCATGCTGTTGCACCTCCCCCCCTGTTCAAGTTCACACTAAAGCATTTTTACTTTTCTCTGCCTGACTGATGCCTTCATTCTCTATTTAAAAACAATTATTCCTATCGTTTCTGCGCTGCGTCTTGAGATGCTGTCACACGTAGACGCTATATGAATCCACACCATATATTGTATCGGACGCGATATGAATCCACACTGTATTGTAAGCGTGCCACGGTTAAATGGGTTTTCCTCCCGAGCTTTTCCACTGCCATCGAGGGGAGCTGGAATGCAGCAGGGGGGTAGGGACTGACCACGGCATGCACGCGTGCATTCCGGCACCGCCGCAGATGGACACCCTGGTCAACCCGCTGCGCAATTCGGTGCGCAACGTGTCCAACGCGGTGCGCGCCTTCCCCGACAACTTCGTCGAGGGCATGACGCGCGTCTCCGACAACATGGGCCGCATGTCGGACAAGCTGAACAACGAGTTCAAGATTTTCAGCAGCAAGGTGCGTGGCGAGCCCAGTGCAAAGGTCACCGCCAGGAACCCTGGACACCCGCTTATCTCGATTATCGGGTGTCGTGCCAAGACCAAAAGGGGCCACGTTTCCTTGAGCATGCACGTACCTCGCTTGTTATTCTTTCCTACGGCAGGCAGTCGATCGGCAACGTCCGTGTCGAGGTTGGTGGGCGAGCTATCGGACGGCTTCAGGAGGTAGCCTCCTGGTGAATATCTGAAACTCTGCCGGCGTACGATCAAAGCGGGCAGTGACGTTGCTAAGTTTGCTGACCTCAGTCATATTGTGGAAAGAAGAATACCTTCTTTAAGAGTCATAATACATGCAAAAGGTGACATCTCAAAACCAACAAGTGTGACTGCGACCATGGCATCACTCCTTACATCGTGCCGTGCACGCCAAGTGACGTCACCATACTGCGTGTATAATGCACGCAGCATTGTGATGGAATAGAATAGGCTTTACCCCTTTCTGGCAATAATACAGGAGGTGTGAAGATGTTCAAACGCCAGAGACTCCCATTGCAAGGCATCAAGTCTGCATTAACCACATATGCGTGTGGTAAAACATGCAAAGAAGCATCATTTTGGTACCAGCTAGATGGGTTCCATAGGCACGCAACATTGTTTTCGGCCAGCAACCCAAACAAGGCATAATCGTGGCTATATTATTTTAAACAGCAGCAGGACATAACTTTCTTGCAAAACATAATTTTGTCAAATGACTAAAACCAATTGATAAATATCTTAATTCATTGTTGTGAATTTGATTTGCTGGACGATGCGTTTGAGTTCTTAATAAAACCCATACCATTTGTTTGCGTGTGTGTATAAAATCCCAAGCACGTACAATTGCTATCTTGTTGGGTTACAATTGATAGAACAAACCAAACAATGGAATGAATACTAAGAAAGTACTTTGATAGAATGGAATGGCAGCGTATGTATCGAGATGAATGCTGCAGGGTCTGTGTTTTAATGAAATCGAATGTCTGCATATACGCAATGTTCTTGGCATCCCACCACGGTGGTAATTTTAATTGCACTGAATGGAATGGGCACGTGGTTAGCCGGGTGTCTCTCCGCGCCGGTGTTAACGTGAAGTCTACGGCGTGTGCTGGCGCCGCAGGTGCCCACTCTGCTGCCGCGCAACACGCGACCCACTGTGCTCGACGACTGCCGCGTGTCGGCGCAGCTCGACGAGAACGTGAGTCGTGGTCCCCCCCCCCCTCCGTCCCCCTCCGTCCCCCCCCTCTGTCCCCCTCCCTCTGTCCCCCACTCCGTACCCCCCCATCTCCCCATCACGGGACCCTTGCCAGACCCCCCCCGATTGTGCGATCCTTCTCTGATCGTCCCCCCCCCGTCTCCCTTCTGTCCCAGGCTGACGACAACCTGCCTCTGCGGATCATGCTGCTGCTCATGGACGAGGTGTTTGACCTGAAGGATCGGAACCAGTGGCTGAGACGAAACATTAAGAACTTACTCCAGCAGTTTATACGCGCCACGTTCGGAGACATGATTAACAGGTATAATGACGTGGCACGCTAATCATTCACCCCGACAGCGGTTCGATGCTTTGATATGAATCGGTTTCATTATCTCAGCTGGTAAAGCCACATTGAGCTTCGCAGATCTGTTACAAGGACAGCCACAGCCCAAAATCGTCGGTAGTGGCGGCAGTTACAGGACAATGTAGGAAGGGAATCTGCAAACTGAGAAGAGCAAAAGCAACAATCGTTAACACAAAATCCACCGCCAAAACTAACTGCACACAGGATTAAGAATAAACGGTGCTTGCATACAAATAAAAAAATTGCGTCGACAAATCCTGTCACAGGTGCTTGTATTTAAACCGTAGAGTACACAACCAGAGCTTAGTTTCGGCATTCATAGCAAGTGTGGCGGAGGTGATCCTGCAGCATGGCTTTAAAACAGGGGTGGGGAACCTTTTTTCTGCCAAGAGCCATTTGGATATTTATAACATTATTCGCAGGCCATACAAAATTATCAACTTAAAAATTTGCCTGTTATATTTGGTCAAACATTTAATTAACTCGCCCCCTAATGTGATGGCTGGAACTGCTTCTCTTTGGCGAGGCGTGTGATGCTAGCTGGTATTGATGATGTTGCTGCTACTCGCAACTGCTTTTCCAGGTTTGCTCCTAGATTTATTGAATTTCGAGTCCCGTCTGCAGTTGCCTTGGCAGGGCCACACCAAATGATTCCGTGGGCCTTGTACGGCCCGCAGGCCGGACGTTCCCCACCCCTGCTTTAAAACGTGCAGATTCAAGAATATCCAGCCCTCTCTTTTGTGGTTACTGTCCCATTTGTATCGTTTCTTGCCTAGTCTGTCTCATGTGTATAGGTTTGTCTGCTCCATCATCTTCAATGTAACATGAGTATACCATTTGCATATAATTTATACAAATTCGAATTCAACTTTAATCACACATGAGCCAATGAATTATGAACAGTAATGCATGCATTTATTGTTACATGCCTAAAAGCCACGGTGCAACACAGAATTACATTGATATGCAAAAGTATTTTATAATTCAGGATGTAATAATGACGATAACAGTGACGACAATGTGATGTGGTAAGCCATTCGAAGGGCGCTGAGCAGTCGAAAAATAGAGATAACAAAACCTATAAAGTGATACATTAATTGCTGTTTTCAAGTTCTTTACAAGGGAAAGAGTTAGCAAGAGCCATTACAACAACAAGGTTGACGTTTTATTTATCATCCTGATATATCTATTTTTAAAGATACTTAACTTATTGTGCGTTACATAATATAGAATTAAGCAAGTGAAACACTTTCTCTGTCCACAGTTGCCACTTTGGAAAAACTTCCGTAAATATTGTTTTACAACCACGCAGCTTGGCATTCGTGATGCAGCTCGTGAAAGTGCGGGTGCAAGTCCACGGGCTGACATGCACGTCGATAAGCCTCGGCCAGGGGTCGGCAGGAATTTGTTTGACTTTTTTTTCAAATTCGGTACAAAACTCAATATTTCAAGAGCCACAATGCATGTGAATACATGCATACACCAATACCAATATCCGCCATCCACCACTAAGTGACGTCACCATGGCGCCTGTGCCAGGCCAGGTGCACCTTGAGGACACGTGAATACATACACACATACGTAGACAAAGATCCCCCATATAGCCTGTAACAGACTGATGGGGCAAGTGCCGTTAGCACAGCACACCAGGGGGTGGGTGGCCAACACCACGCCTGGATGCCTTTGTCTCCCTCATGGCTAAGTTTAAACACCGCACCAGGTACTCATTTGAGGCTGAGTCGACCTAGGGGATGCCCAGGACCAGTTCAGATAATCGTCACTGGTGTTGTACATACACACATGCATACGTACAGACGTACATTATGTCACGAAGCAGTCTGTAAAAAAAAAATGAAATCACGACGTTTCGGGCGCAACACAAGCGTCCTTGTGTTGCGCCCGAAACGTCGTGATTTAATTTATTTTAATTTTTTTACCTACGTGACTTTACCGTAAAAACCAAAGAGTATAATTGGTGCATTTAACCTGTACAATGTAAAACAAATCTTATGTTTGCACTCGCATTTTTCAGTTGTGTAGATAGTGGGGTGAATATGAATATTGATATTTCTTTTCAGGAAAATTGTTGACCATGTCGACTTGATGACATCACCGGAGCAGGTGGCAGAATATGTCAAGCGATTTCGGTAAGAGCGATATCACCTCTCACGGACGACCACGTGTGTTTTTGCATACTATTGTGTGTTATTAGATTGTGCTGTTGTGTTTTTGACCAACAGCCTAAGTAGCCGCAAGGTGCTGTATATATATGTAAATGATCTGTCTAAAATTGGTGAAAGCTGGAACGAGCCAAACCATTTATTTCCTATTCATAGATGTTTGTGAAGTTATTGGAGGGGCCTCCAAGCCACAGGGCTCCTTGGGGCTGCAGGTGATCCATATTGGATGACTCTGCTCAACATGCTGTGTATTCCTTGCTGCGAAGTATGGTTTATAAACCTCGACATCTTGGAATGACACCGAAAGATGGAGATGGGGGGCGCATGTGGACTTGTGAACATACACAAGTTACAGATGTCATATTGAGCGCTAAGAAAACTAACTGGGCTTGGCCAGGAGAAGTCACGAGGGAAGGGATGATGGCCGGTGGTCGAGACTGATGATTGAGCGCTAGCCAAAAGGATGGAATACGCTGGAGAAGGACACCCACCGTAGAGATGGAGGAATACTATCAGCTCAATTACCAGTAGGTTGTAGATTCTATTATATTATATTTCGGATTTATATCGCGCCCTTTCCAGAGCGCTTTAAAATACAGGCCGACGGCGGTCAGTGAGTTGCATCACAAGACTGCAAGAGAAGGCAAACAGCTTGGGGCTTCGTCCGGCGGTGAATAGTTGTCTGATGATAATCGTGAGCCAACCCTTGATGCCCTCACTGGCATTGAAAAGACGGACAATCTGGCTACATGGTGACCATCCTGTCGCGCGTGTCAACTCTATTGCCTGGCGCTCCATCGTTACCACCAGCCATCCATTCTTACGACGCGCCCTGTCCAAGTCCACTCTCCGTTCTTAGCAGGCCACCGTGAAGTGTGCCCGTGTGCCGGCTGTGCCCTGCAGGGATTCGCTCTGGCCTGGAGGGATACTGGCCGAAACGCCACCGCCACGGAACCTGCACACCCACATGAGGACGAGGGTGGCGGCGCAAGCCAAGATGTTGAGCAGCATGCCGGGTAACTCCGTCGACGGCACCCGAGCTACCGCGCCAGAAGTGACGCACCGGCCGCGGCGCCGTCTAAACCCCGAGCGAGCGACGTTCTCTCTCTGGCAGTCAGAAGGAACTCGTGCCACTGAAACTCTACGTGTTAATTTGTCTGCTCTAAAAACGTGGTAGCCAGTACCGCTGTCTCTACTCAATGTTGTTTGTTGAAAGCGTTAATACATTTGCGCTCTCCGTCTGTCCCTCTTTCTGTAACAGCGGGGGAATACGTTAATAAAGCTAATCCAATATGAGCAAAACATTTGTTTACGGTTGTGTTGCTGTAAGGGACTTGGCATATTTATAACCGGCCAAATTGATCAAAGCGTTGCCTCAAACTTGGGAGACATAAAACAGGCAAAAAGTTACATCTTTTTCTCCTAACAGCTATCCGTCAGCTTCCTATGCCGCTAATGAAATATTTCCAAAAACAAATGCGTGCTGGAAAACTACGCAATTCATGCGCATTTTACTGAACGTATTCTCCTCACTCGCAGATGAGCTCAAGCACATCTTGGGCGCTGAGACCATGCGCAAGGGCCTGCTGCGCGTGTTTGAGATGTTCCAGCACCGGCAGCTGAACCGCCGCCTGCTGTACGTGTGCCTGGAGGGCCTGCTGGAGAGCCTCTACCCAAAGAATCGGCTGCACCAGCTCTTCCTCCGCCTGCACTCTCGCTCGCCGCGCCTACAAGCATTCCACGGTCGCTCGCCCACGGGCAGTGCCAAGGGTGTCTCGGTCAGGAGGTGACACGGACGCTGCTGCTGTGTGCCGACGCGCCGTCTCGCTCTGCCTTGGCGCAGTCCTCCTCTTAGCCGCTCGGCGGCGTGGCACGAGCGCCGTGGCCCGGCATGGGAAGCCACGGCAACTTGTGGGCACGCTCGCGCGCGAGTTGTCACGCCGCGTGGAGCGTGGCGGATCGGAACTCCCGCCTTGGAGCCGTTTGGATTTTTTTGTGAATTTCGTGGCTGTTGGCGGTTGACGTCCAGACTTGAAAATGCTTTGACCATGCATCGACTACCCCGAGGCCTTGTATCCAGTCTCCTGAGGCTTCTGTGAAGATTCTTTTAAGAGAGCACCTGCGTGTCTTCAACGGACACGTGTAATGGAGGGCACTAAGCTACTGTATGATTTTTGTTTCAAATTCGAATGACACGGTCAGCGTTTTAACCACTAATGTATTGCTTCCCCAAGCCGGCGCACATCCACAAATTGTATGTCTCTCGGCAGTTGTGGTGACCAATCGAAGTTGTATGAAATCGTAGTATTTACGCAAAAGTGATTGTTTATCTAATGGAACAGCAGTACTAATTATTTAAGCTGTCTTGCAGAATGGCACCGATGTGGATATTATATTTCGTTGGGTCATAGCCTACCTGTCAATATAGAACTTTAATGACAAACACCCACACCCTAACCTCGGGATTGGAAATCCAGTAATGGGACATCAGGACGAGCAAATGGTGCATTTTGTGAGAAAATAGTTGAGGACATTTTATTTAAAACTTATCGTAGTACAATGTTTACAGGGAAATTGTTATATTTTGAATTAGAGCTGTTATACAAGCAACAAATGGGAGTAGAATTTTTTTCTTTTTGCAGTCCCAACATTTCATAATCCGCGTTCCGTTATACACATTGCAAACGTCCCCTTGCCCCGCTCCCCTCCAGCGCTATTGGTCAATTGAGCTGGAAATATCATTGCCCAAACACGCATGGCACGTGAGCTGTGGGTGCAGCGGGAAGGGTCGACAACTCAAATGGATTTGTGCAACACGTGATCATGCACAATGGAACATTCATATCTGTTCGATTCAAATTTATTGTGCCCACTTAACCAGTGTACAATGAGAATATAATTATCACCTGGAAAGCTGTAAATGCTACATTAGCCAAGGGCTGCGCGTGTGTTTCCTCTGGCCTACCTAGCATTTGTAAAGTGATGGGATCAAGGAGATTTAAAAAAATAATTGTTGTCCCTCACCGAGTACAGTGATGGTGGCACGCTCTGTGTAATTTGCATGCTTGGGAGCTGATTTTTCTTTCTCCAGTGGGCCCCATGGCACATTTTTCCTGCAGTGCTACTTTGCATAGATTGTTTACATTTTTATTATGCAAATGCTTCATCCAAAGTCCAGCTTGCTGTTTGACCCTCTATTTTTCATCACCCCAACTTCCTCCAGCCCACGCGCATCCGCCAATGCTGTCCGTGCTGCCGTTTCACTGATGAGATGTGCAGCAACGTTGGCCAGCGTAAACCTTACAATGTAATCGGGTAACAACAACTCCACGTGAACGCTGCACGTGATGAAGGTCCACTCACTGTCTCTGCTCCCCCAACACTGAACTTTCGTGCACAATCCGCAGTACAAGTCCATCCGTGTGCAATATTTGGAACGTACTATATTGTGGGAAGGTACACATTTCTAGCGCGCTGTAATATTGGCTCGAGGTTCCCCCTTAAAACAATAAACTGCGATATTTTTGTTTTAATTTTCACCGATTTCCACTAAATTGTGCGGTCGCGTATTATTATTATGCATTCTGAGTTTTAACGATTTTAAGAGCACACGATGTAGATTGAGAGCCGTGCCGTGTTGTGAAATATTGTAACGGTGTACTAAATGTAAATGTTTGGCGTGGCTTTCCAGTATTTTTGGCATGTACAGAACAGCACACAAGTCTCCCTTTTCCACACGCGCTCAACGCCCCGTTTGTAAATAAGGTCCGATAGGTGTATGTATTTGTACATTAATTGTGTCCATTATGTGCCTGACTGTACTCACAGTGGTTCCGGGGGGGGGAGGGTTCTTTCCAATTGCTTCAGTCAGCCCCATCCTCAATCGAGTCTGACGATTATCACGGCGTTTTTAAAATAATAATACGAAAAAACAATTACAAATAGCACTTTGCCTTTTTATTTTACACTAGATTGTACAGGATGTTGAAGTTAAAAGACTGGACGTGTACACATACTAAAACTAAATAAAGGGTATCTTTTAAATCAACGCGGTTGTCTGCTTTTGCGGTCTTTATCGAGGAGTTTGGTGGGTTTCGTCTTCAAGGCGGTGACATGGCAAAGCGGTGTTCTCATGCCACATGCTCTTGCGAGCCGGTTCGAGAGGCCAAATGCACTCTACTACCACTCTGGTGTGCTGTGAAGATGGGCTATTGCCTGAAACGTCGCCTGCAGTGTTGACATTTTAAATCGGTATCCTGTAGTTCCATCACCGCCCACTGGAGGGCAGCTCTCACACGTGGTGTGTGCGTGCGCGCAGTCCCGTGGCTTTGAGCTTGACTGCTCCGTTGAGCGAACAAGCTACCAAAGGAATTTAATCGGAGAGGTTGAATTCAAACAAGGCTCATTCGTCTGCAGGGTGAAACATGCTCCATAACCTTTTTCTTGGGATCGAGTGCGGTGTGTGGTCCGTGTGACGAGATTGCACAGTGATGATATCGTTCTTAATACGGGTTTTTTGGTTTAGATCACGATCTAACCCAAAAAAAACATGTGTTGTGGATATTGGTCGCGAAAGGCGACTTGTTAAAATTACATCGTTCTGTTGCGCTCGTATTGGTTATACCCAGGTCTCCCTTTGCAAAGAGGCTTTACTCTTAGCGAGATCTTACCTGGTGATACATCTCTATACAACACCACGCGTGCATGTCTGTCTGTCACGCGCCGGGATGACGTCACGCTATTTTGAGGTGAAGTGGAGAATGGTGTTACGACGTCAGAGACGCTGGGGTGTTCAGGAGAGGATAAATGACGTCACGCGAGATTGGGGCGAGGTTGTGAGGGGGGGAGTAACGACGTCACGAGACGCGGTGGGAGCGAATAGCGGTGATGGCGTCATGAGAGGGTTATGACGTCACGAGACATTGGGGAGGGTTATGACGTCACGAGACGCTGGGGAGGTGAGAAGGGTGATGACGTCACGAGACGCTGGTGAGGTTAGGGGTAATGACGTCACGAGACGCTGGGGTGATGAGAGGGGTAATGACGTCATGAGACGCTGGGGAGATTAGGTGATGACGTCACGAGACGCTGGGTAGATGAGGGGTGAAGACGTCACGAGACGCTGGGGAGATGAGGGGTGATGACGTCATGAGACGCTGGGGAGATGAGGTGATGACGTCACGAGACGCTGGGTCGATGAGGGGTGATGACGTCATGAGACGCTGGGGAGATGAGGTGATGACGTCACGAGACGCTGGGGAGATGAGGGGTAATGACGTCACGAGACGCTGGGGAGGTGAGGGGTAATGACGTCACGAGACGCTGGTGAGGTGAGGGGTAATGACGTCACGAGACGCTGGGGAGGTGAGAAGGGTGATGACGTCATGAGACGCTGGGGAGATGAGGGGTGATGACGTCACGAGACGCTGGGGAGGTGAGTGGTAATGACGTCACGAGACGCTGGGAGATGAGAGGGGTGATGACGTCATGTTCTTTCTAAGAAAAGAGAATCTTTATTTAGAATGTTTATTTCTCGCAGTGATTCTGAGCCCGGGGGTGCGAGATGCCTTTTCTGAGAACCGAAGCGGCGCCAGGCTGCAAGTGAACGTTTAAGAGCCACCGATGTAGACCCTGAAGCTCCTTTTTCACAGACTTCCAGTCGTACTCGCGCCTCTTCGAAGACGCCCGGACAGATTGGAAGAGTAGCCCAAGTACCCTCGAGAGAGAGCGAGAGAGACGTGTGCCCTGGAGCTCCCTCGAGCGGCATGAGAGCGACATTGCCTGGCTGCGCCTTCACCTTTGATACATTCGATTCCAGAGCGGCGTAATCGATACTTGTCAGAATCGAGAATCGATTTCGCCTCTAATCGCGTGCGTGGGCCTAGGGTGGCCCTCATGAATCGATTCTAACGGTAGGAAGGGAATCGAGTGTTATCGATTCCTGCACCCACATTGTCGTGCAGTGAACCAACATCATGGCCGCATCTAAACTCAACAGCTCTGCTCACGAATAAAGGCCATTGCCACAGCGTCGTCGTCGTTGTTGTTGTTGACGTGTTGTGTGTGCACCACCGCTACATCAAAATCGCGTGGAATCGAATCGACACGCGTGTGGTCGCTCACTCGAATCGATCCCTCAGCACATGGCGGCCACGCGGCCCACGGCGTGCGGGTCGCCGCGCTTCTCGGGACCCCGACGGTCTTCGGGGGTCGCGGCTTTCGCGGGAGGGTCGCGTCTCTCGGGGGCCCCGGGGTTCGCGGGCGCCGCGGGGCTCGCCCGGGGCCCCGAGTCGAGCCTGGTGAGCGAGAGCTGCGTGCGGCACCTCGCGCTCTTCCCCCGCCACTTGGGCCGACTGCGCAGCGGCATCGGGGAGCAGCTGGACGCCGAGCTGCTGCGCTACTCGGAAAGGTGAGCGGGGGGTGAGGGGGGGGTGAGTGTGAGGGGTGGGTGAGGGGTGAGGGGTGAGTGAGTGGTGAGTGAGGGTGAGGGGTGGGTGAGGAGTGAGTGGTGAGGGGTGAGTTGTGATGGGTGAGTGACTGGTGAGTGGTGAGTGAGGGTGAGTGAGGGTGGTGGGTGAGTGAATGGTGAGTGAGGGGTGAGTGGTGAGTGAGGGGTGAGTGAGGGGTGAGTGTGAGGGGTGGGTGAGGGGTGAGTGGTGAGTGAGGAGTGAGTGTGAGGGGTGGGTGAGGAGTGAGTGGTGAGTGAGTGTGAGGGGTGAGGGGTGAGTGAGGAGTGAGTGGTGAGGGGTGAGTTGTGAGGGGTGAGTGAGGGGTGAGTGAGGGTGGTGGGTGAGTGAATGGTGAGTGAGAAGTGAGTGGTGGGTGAGTGGTGAGTGAATTGTGAGGGGTGAGTGAGGGGTGAGTGGTGAGTGAGGGTGAGGGGTGGGTGAGGAGTGAGGGGTGAGTTGTGAGGGGTGAGTTGTGAGGGGTGGGTGAGTGAGGGTGAGGGTGAGTGAATGGTGAGTGAGGGGTGAGTGAGGGGTGAGTGGTGGGTGAGGGGTGAGTGAGGGGTGAGTAGTGAGTGAATGGTGAGTGAGGGGTGAGTGGTGAGTGAGAGGTGAGTGGTGAGTGAGGGTGAGTGGTGAGTGAGGGGTGAGTGAGGGGTGAGTAGTGAGTGAGTGGTTAGTGAGGGGTGAAGTAAGAGTGGGTGAAGAGTGCTGCGGGGTCAGGAGGGAGTGAGTGGTGGGGGAGTAGTGAGGGGTGAGCAGGGGGGGTGATGAAGGGCGAGGGGGAATGAGTGGTGAGGAGAGAATAAGGGATGGGGCAAAATGAGTGAGGGTGATGGGTGAGTGAGTGGTGAGTGAGTGGTGAGCAGTGGCGGCTCCTGCAAAATCTCTCAGGGGGGGCAAATGTCTGGATGATTGATAAGGATAAGGTCCACCCATGCAATGGATAAATTAACAGCTTAAGCATGTAAAGGCAACTTCACTTATTTAATATTAATGAAAAAGAAAGTGACTCTTACAATACATCTTGTTTGTTTCTATACTCACTATTAATACAATCCACTCAAGTTTCTTTTATTAAAGATTCCACTAGGTGGCGACAAATTATATTGTTGGATGAAACGTGCTTACGTATGATGACGTAAGCACGTATGATGACGTAAGCACGTTAGTGCGAGCCCTCCCGGAAGCCATAGAGAATGCATTGCAGCGCCCCCCGTTCGAAAAAAAAAACATCTTTGAATGTAAGTCTATGGGGCCACTCGGGGCGATTCTCAGCCGGAGTGAAATCGCCCAAAAAGAGGCGGTACTCCACAAAACGTGACATGATGCTGATTGGACTATATCCAGAGGCACAGTGACGGCTCGCGTGACTCTGTGGTTGAATGACATTGGTGGTGCGTCGCCCAATCGCCCTAATGAAGAAACCGCCCCTGGTGGTGAGTGAGGGGTGAGTGAGGGTGAGTGGTGAGTGAGAGTGGTGGGTGAGTGAGTGGTGAGTGAGGGGTGAGTGGTGAGTGAGGGTGAGTGGTGAGTGAGGGGTGAGTGAGGAGTGAGTGGTGACCATGCTTCGCCACGCTGGCCAATGCTGGTTTGTGAGTGGCTGGCACACAGGACCAGTTCAGATGTCACTGACATCTGTGGCCGGGTATCGAACTCAGCGCCAACCACTGCACGGCCGCTCCATACTGGAAATTTGTGAAAAAGAGCTTAGTAGCTCATCGGATTCCTCCTTCTCAAGTCTAAACAGAGATTCTTATTGTGAGCATTTGCACGTAAAAAGTGCCGTGCCCATTCCCAATATTGAGTTGTGACTCTCACCTCCGCTCCTCCAGCCTCAAGGGGGTTCCTCTCGCCTACGACAACATGAAGCTCCTCAGCGGTCTCGGCGACCTCATCGATGATCAGGGATACATCCACATGGACGTCCAAGCGGACTTTGTGGTCTTCCGTCCCAATCCAGGGGACATTCTCAAGGTGCGCCCCATAACGATCTGTGTGTGTGTGCGAGGGATCCGCGTACGCCGGGTCAAATCAAGTGCGGGAGCGTATCCCAAGCAGACCACCTGGGTCAATTAGAATTGCAATTGTCGTTCAGAATGAATTGTAATAAATCATATTGTAATTACAGTCAACAGTGTTGCTGTAATTGTACTTTACCCAGTAGCTGATACCGAGATGGCAGCATCCACAATCTCCAGCATCAACCTCTTGGGTCCCTTCTGGAAAAGTCCACAAGCGAATTCTGTTCCCGGCCCCAAGAGGTCCGACAGCCACGGCCGATCTGATGCGGCCACAAGGCCTGTGGCCTCGGCCTCCTCCACCCCACGTGGTTCTCTTTAACTGGGACAGGGTCATGCGGGTAGCAAGCCTCCGATTAGCACAGTGGTCTCCGCATGGTGCGAAAGAAGTTCAACATACACGCCTCAGTATCCCAAGGTTAGACACCCCCCCCCCCGTGTTTACAATTCCTGTACACCTGTATGTGTGGGTGTGTGCTATATATCGAATGTGTGTGTTAGTACACCATGGTGTATCCTGTACACTCCTGTGTGATCCCTGTACACCGATGTCCCGTGTGTCTTGTACACCTAATCTCTCGTCCGTGCTCCCCACACACCCCTGCGTGCCTGCCCAGGGCGTGGTGAACAAGTTGGGCAGCGCACACGTGGGCTGCCTGGTGCACGGTTGCTTTAACGCGTCCCTGGCCTGCCCCGCGCGACGAGCCCGGCGTTCCGTGGCGGGGGGCGGGGCTGTTCCCCGGCGACACCGTGCGCTTCACCGTGACGCACGTCGACTCCGACTGGGCTGGTGTCCTGCTCGTGCGCGGCTCCCTCATCGGCCTCGGGTCAGCGCCGCCGGACAGCCTCGCGTTTGACCCTCGCGTAGTTCCCTCTGGCGACGCCCGCGCCTTATACCACCGTCTCTTCTCCTGCACAACCAAGCCGCGTTGGGGGCCGTGCTGAGCAGGCCCGGCCCGGCTCGGGAGGCGCCGGGTTGTTTTTCCACTGCGAGACCCAACCCGTGCCACGCTGACGCCACGTGCGATGAATGAGTCGAGACCCACGTAGATGATGATGATGATGCGGCGACGCCATGCTTGAGTTGTCCGCCGACTGACGTTGTACGCATTGGACCCGTCCTTAGCCCAGCCCTATGGCTACTCTTGGTCCTTCATCCGTTCTGTATTTGGATTCCTTGCGAGGCCAGCGTGGCATATCTTTAAATAGCGAGTGAAAAACCACCCATACTGGGAGGGTCCTGCGTTGACTCGGCTCGAATGTCGCCAATGAAAAAGTGTGTGTGTTGGGTGCATGTGTAATTGGCCTGTTATTGTCTCTGCAGAGTTCCCGATGAGAGTTATGCTGAGCAAGCGAATGGGGCCGCAAAACAGGAGCATGAGGAGGTTCAGAAAGTCCCGGTCGAGTACACAGACTCTGCGCCGAACGAGAAGAAGAAGAAAGAGAAAAAAAAAACGTGACCGAGAGGTCGGGGGTGACGATCAAGGTCGAGGAGACGATGGTGGTCGAGGAAGTGGTGGAGCATCGTCATAAAGAAAGAAAAAAGAAGAAATCCAAACGGAAAGGGGAAAGTGATGGAGAAGAACCAATCTGTGACGGCGTCACCAAGCTTCCTGTGAAAGAGGAGCCTGAAAGTGAACTCTGCACGGAGATTGGCAGTGAAGCTTGCACGAGCCAAACCGAAGCTTCTGTTAGCCCAGACCAGAAGAAGAAAAAGAAGAAGAGGCGGCGTGACAGGGATGAGGAGGGGAGCACGGTGCCGCTGAGCGACGGATCCCGCTACCTGAGCAATGACGCGGGACACGAGGCCAATGGAACTTTGACCTCTGACCCAGAAGCCCCAAAGAAGGAAAAAAAGCGTAAGAGGAACTCCGTTGAGGATATTTCGCTTTCAGAATCGCCACTGCCTAAATCCAAAAGAAGAAAGTGAGCCACAGGGCACGGACTTCTCACGATACCAAAGACAATCACCTCGGTGCGAGCCGTTTGCACCAGGAATGCGTTGTCTGACCCTAGTCGTGTTTATGCCTTTGCCTGTGTCGAATAACCACATTTCGTATGTTTTTGATTACCGTGGTTGAAGCTACTTTTTATTTAAATTTGAGATGGTGAGTTTGAATAAAAGTCGTATAAAGTTGTATAATCAGTTGGAAAACCTACGTATACATGTTTACAACCAAGAAAAGTGCACAGCATCAGCGGCTGTGTGTTGTAACGGCGTGCAGTGGTGTTCGTTGAACAATACACTTGTGAGCTAACTGAGTAAGCTGTCTTTACGTGATACTCTGGAAAATGGTTTATAATGCCTGCATAAAGTGATCTTTTATAATTGATTTCCTACACGCTGGTTAATCCCATGGTGTGTTGTAGCCAATGCAGGCTTGCAAATGTGAGTGTTTTGTTGGCATGGGAATTATAGTACATGTATTTTCTGAAACGGTGGGTTGTTGTGGATTGTGTGAATATGGTTTGTTTTGAAACTGGGAGGAGGGTGAGAGTGTCATTTGGTCTTTAAATATTACCGTATCTTTATTTGAAGCTTTCGTGACTGCAGGAATCCACATTCTTTGGTTATTTCGGTAAAGTCACTTCAGTAGAAGAATAATAGATCACGACGTTTCGATAGCAACACAAGCCATCGTCCTCGGGTGAAACAATACAGCAGGCGGACTGCTGAGGCAAGGTGGCAGTAGCTCTCTCGCTTCATTTCCTGCTGCCTCAGCAGTCCGTCTGCTGAGGACGATGGCTTGTGTTGCTATCGAAACGTCGTGATCTATTATGTTTCTACCAACGTGACTGCCGAAAGAACCATAGAATAATGGACCATATGGTGAAGCACTGTAGCCTGCGCTCCATGAACAGAGAAGGAACTACAAACAACAACACCAGCTCTGTCCGCAAGCCCTCTCGTGGCTCGCAGACCTCGACATTGGCATTCAGATCCTGAACATATTGCCGTGCGCAAGAATAGAGTCGTACCTTCAAGCACATGCGCAAGAACAGTCCGCTTTGAAATATACGGCCGTGGGATGTTTACAATGCATTTCAAATATTCGTGTCAGACTCTTTCAAAAGTACCATTAGCCTACGGAACTCTTCCTTGCTTTGGAACATTACAATTAGGGAAAAAGTCTATGTATGTTAACTTCTTTCGCACGGTACGTAGCCAACCATGTCTATCAGAGGTGCGGGGGAAGGTCAAAAAACAACACAAAAAGCAGTTTTAAAGGAATGAGTTTTTAATCTAGATTTAAAAGTGTGTGGGTTCCTAATCGGAAGGAAGAGCGTTCCAGACGGCCGCAGAAGCGCATCTGAAAGCGCGCGGTGCAGTGTCTGCCTTTGCTTGGTGGCTAGCCGAAAGTCGCCTGCTGCGAGAATGACCAGAGTTCGCGTGATGGTTGTGCTTTCGTGATTGATGGCCCAGTGCTTTCAGCAATGGCCATGACGTTGAGCTGCATTGCTGGCCAGTGCCCGCTGATGCCCACTCGCCCAAGTCGCGCGAGCCGCGGTGTTGCCAATCCAGCAGGTGGCGATCTCTGTCTGGCCTCGACTTGGAGGGGGAAGGGATGTTTTGTAAGCGTTGGTGGTCCAGCCGTGCCTCGTTGCGTAATCATTCGCATTTGTGGGGCGGTGACACACGGCCTCGGGCAAGGGTCGGCAACCTGCAGCTCCACAGCCCATGCGGTTCTTTAAGGATAAAATGTGGAGTGTTGTTTTTACCGAATTCGAAACAAATGGCGGCTCCGTGTTATTTTGGTTGCCGAGCCCTTGACCATGGAAGTCCATATTCTTGGTTCTTTCGGTAAAGTCACGTAGATAGAAAACAAAAATCTGAATTAAAGCAAAAAAAAACCCACGACGTTTCGATCGCAACACAAGCGGTCTTCATCAGGTCGAGAGAAAAGAGGGGCAAAGGGCATCCAAATGTAGCTGCTTATAAGGGCTCCGTAGTGAGTTGACGGGGTAAAGTGCTGCGCCAGAGACAGGGGGAGCGAGAGGGGTGGAGATGGGAGGGGGGGATTGCACCTCGCTGCACTCATCCACACTGCTGACGGGAGAGGTTGACAAGGAAACACAAGTTCAAGTCATGACCCAAAGTGGTTGATGACATCTTTCAAATGATTGCTGAGTTTTAAACCGTCGTCTCGGTTGAAATTGTGTTTGTGTCTGTATATATGGATGGCTTCGTGAGCGAATCTTTGCTGATAGCCAGTCGGCTTGCAAAGTACCATCGTCTTAGAGAAGTCCAGTTTACCATGCGAGTCCAATTTACCATGGAAGTCCAATTTACCATGGAAGTTAATTTTACCATGGGAGTCCAATTTACCATGGAAGTTCATTTTACCATAGAAGTTCATTTTACCATGGGAGTCCAATTTACCATGGAAGTCCAGTTTACCATGGGAGTCCAATTTACCATGGAAGTCCAGTTTACCATGGAAGTTACATTTACCATGGAAGTTCATTTTACCATAGAAGTTCATTTTACCATGGGAGTCCAGTTCACCATGGAAGTTCATTTTACCATAGAAGTTCAATTTACCATGGAAGTTCATTTTACCATGGGAGTCCAATTTACCATGGAAGTCCAGTTTACCATGGGAGTCCAGTTCACCATGGAAGTTCATTTTACCATAGAAGTTCAATTTACCATGGAAGTTCATTTTACCATGAGAGTCCAATTTACCATGGAAGTGCAGTTTACCATGGGAGTCCAGTTCACCATGGAAGTTCATTTTACCATGGAAGTTCATTTTACCATGGAAGTCCAATTTACTATGAGAGTCCAATTTACCATGGAAGTCCAGTTTACCATGGGAGTCCAGTTCACCATGGAAGTTCATTTTACCATGGAAGTTCATTTTACCATGGAAGTCCAATTTACTATGAGAGTACAGTTTACCCCATGGGCGTCCAATTCACCCCATGGGAGTCCAATTGACCATGGAAATACAGTTTACCATAGGAGTCCAGTTTACCATGGGGGTCCAGTTTACTATGGAAGTATAATTTACCATGGGAGTCCAGTTTAACATGGGAGTCCAATTTACCATTGAAGTCCAGTTCACCATGGGAGTTTATTTTTCCATGGAAGTCCAATGGGAGTCCAGTTTACCCCATGGGAGTCCAATTTACCATGGAAGTGCAGTTGACCATGGAAGTCCATACTCTTAGGGTTTTTCGGTAAAGCCACGTATAAAGAAAAAATAAATGTAATAATAGCATACGACATTTTGATTGCAACACAATTATCAGGTACGAATGAATGAAAAAAAACCTAGTAAACTTAGAAATATAATGCAATACAACACAGAGAGTCGCCTCTGTTGATTACGTTCTTCCAAAGAGTGCTAAATTTGAGAGGGAGAGACAAAACACAGACACGGAGACACAGACAGACACATAAGCAGAGAGAGATAACACAGAGACACAGAGAGAGACACACACATAGGCACCGAAAGAACCAGAGAGTAATTTACCGAAAGACCCAAAGAGTATGAATTCCTGCCGTCACGAAAGCTTTAAGTCAACATGGAAGTCCAATTTACCATGGGCAGGGCTCAGAAACCCGCGGCTGCGTTGCTGCATGCGGCTCATCAAGGAGTGTTTCGCGACGTTACTTGTCACGAACCGTCCCGTATTCACCACACCGTACATTGCGGCTCGTGAAATATTTAGTTTATAAATTTGTGTTTGACCGAATTCGAACAAAAGCGTCTTCTCTCCTTGTTACTTTGCTTGGCGACCCGTGGCCCAGCGGGTGGCCCGTTCTCCGCATCCAAGCGTCCGCCCTGGATTATTCCCGCGAGTATCACCACCTTGACAATACGCGTCGTCTGCCTCCCAGTGGGGTTCCATGACCCCGTGACCGCCATTCGCAAGAGGAGCCATTGTGTGCTGGCATCAGAGGTCGGAACATGCCAAAGATTGCGCGAAATTGCTCCATTGGGATTATGCACAGCAGCAATCGTCGTCACCCCCCCCCAACTACTGACAGATTAATGCCCCAGGTCACTCTTGCAAATTAGCCTCATGGTCCCTCGACTCCTCACCTGGTGAATTAAAGTGAAAGAGAAAAAGTCTGATAATTGGTTTTTTTACCCTTTTATCTGGCAACAAAACTGACCACCTTTTTTACAAGGAGTCATGTTTGCATAGACCACCAATACCTGCAGTCAAAATGCAAACAAAAAACATAACTCTGATAATGTATGCACTGTCCTTGAAGTTGATTGGTCCACACCCGAGACAGCTTTCCTTAGAGCCTAGTCTCACATGGTGTTGGACCAGATGACGCCAAAGGCGCACAACTCAAAGACAATGCATTTGGCCCAACACCATGTGAGACTAGGCTCTAAGGAAAGCTGTCTCGGGTGTGGACCAATCAACTTCAAGGACAGTGCATACATTATCAGAGTTTATTTTGTTTGCATTCCGACTGCAGGTATTGTGGTCTATGCAAACAGGACTCCTTGTAAAAAAAAGGTGTCAGTTTGTTGCCAGATTAAAGGTTAAAAAAAACAATTATCATTGTTTACTGGCAAATGAGGTTCCAATGGTGATAGAAAAAGTCGTGCACAGGACAGCTGCGTGGCTGAACCGGAGGAGGCTCACTTTCGCCTCTGAGCGCACTCAAACCAATCGCCGGCGCGCGGGTGTATAGCCGGCAACCCGCGAATTACAACGACAAAACAACTGAACACGTTGGTCAATAACTTCGGCGGGCGCGGTCCTCACCCACCCCCACGACCCCTCAATTCCTGAGCTCCCTCCCCTCTCTCACGTGAGCCCGCCAAGGGGCGTAGAGCGTACCGACCTGGCAGCGCCGTTGCGTCTGCAGACGCGGTGGGTGATAGATCACATGCGGGCACGTCTAGCATCGGTGTTCCCATGCCAAGCAAAGGGGGGTTGGGTCACGGGAATTTACGGTCACGTTTGGCAGGTGTTGTGCCCCTATAGGCGTGGGCCCACTTATAGATATATACAGTGGGGAGGGTGTTTTATATTTGTTTTAACAGTACAGTGCATTCAAATAAAACGCCGCTTCTTTAGCAAGTGTCCACACGCCGTTTTAGAGGAAGATTTGTTGGGGGTTTGTTTCTTCGGCTCATTACCCGTTTATTTTAG